GAGCTGTTCCGAGAAGGCTTGCTGATGGTAGTCGGCAACTTGAACGTTGCCCTGGAACCAAGACTCAACAACTCCAGAGGGGTTAGCTCCTTTCTGCCCCACTGCCTGAGGGATATGAGGTACGCATTGCGAGGATCTGGTCTCATAAACTGCTGGAGAATTCTACACACCAATGATAGGAACTACTCCTATTTCTCCACTGTTCACAAGCGTTATAGCAAATTGGACTATATACACCTAGCCCAGGAGTTCTTACCCCCGCTTGTCTTAGCTGGGATCCGGCCGATGGGCTGGTCCGACCACCCCCCATATCGACACGCATCAAATACCCTTTATTCAGACCCAGAGATTGCCATTGGAGGATGAATGAATTGGTCCTTAACGACACGCCCATTGTGACTGAACTCCGCTCGGCCTTAACCACTTTCTTCAAAGAAAATGAATCTCCAGACATGCCATCCTTAACTGTCTGGGAAGCGCATAAATGCGTTATTCGGGGACAGCGTATTAAGCTGTGTACACAAAGGAAGAAGGAACAGCGTAGACGTATAGCTGAACTGACTCTGCGGATCACGGAACTGGAAGGAGCAAATAAATCCACACAGTCTGATGACTCCTACAAGGCCCTTGTGAACACTCAAAGGACTCTGAAAGATATTTTGTCCCAGAAACTGCAACACACTATCTACAAATCCCATCGCTTTTTTCACGAGTACTCTGGCAAATGTGGCCGCCTCTTGGCCAGGACACTCCAAAAGAAGCGACATGTGCTATAATCACCAAATGAAAACTAAGGACCAGTCGACAACACCATTGCCGGACAAGATTATCAAAGCTTTTCAAGGTTATTACAACGACCTATACAACTTGCCCACGAGATGCGCCCCAGATTGAGGAAGCGACTGCCGCCCACCTACAAACTCAGTAGGCATGTGCATGGGGAAAATGTTCGGTTCGGTTCGGCATTCCGAAATTCAGGACTTCCGCAATTCGGGACTTTGGCAATTCGGCACTTCAATACTTCAGAACTTCGGCAACTTCGGAACTTCAGCACTTCGGAACTTCGGAACTTCAGCACTTCGGAAATTCGACACTTCGGAACTTCGGAATTTCGCCATTTCGGAATTTCGGGACTTTGGCACTTCGGGACTTCTCTTGCAGCCGCTTAGTAGATAACTCCCTAATTCCCACGGTATTAGGGAGTTATCTACCAAAAGGCTGAAAGACCTAAATTGGTCTTTCAGCCAAATTTACTAATACTAAGTAAAAATTACTTAGTATTAGTAAATTTTGCCCCTACTTGCTATACCGTGAGTAGGGGCATGTCTATTAAACAGCCTGTGGCTGCTCACTGTTAAAAAAAATAGGGTCCTATTGCACCCCCCCGGCCCCCACCCCTGAGCGGCAGTTGGGACCCTAAAGTAAAATGATGGGGGGACCTATTGTCCTCCCCCCCGTCCCCTGAGCGGCGGGTGGGGGCCCTAAATTGGAATAAGGGGGAGGGACCTAATATCATCCCCCCTAGCCCCCACCCCTGAGCGGCGGGTGGGGGCCCTAAATTGGAATAAGGGGGGGGAACCTATATTGGAATAAGGAGGGACCTAATGTCCTCCCCCTGGCTCCCACCCCTGAGCGGTGGGTGGGGGTCCTAAATTGGAATAAGGGGGGACCTAATGTCCTCCCCCCTGGCCCCCACCCCTGAGCAGCAGGTGGGGGCCCTAAATACCAATAGAGGGGGACCTATTGTCCTCCCCCCAGCCCTGAGCGGCGGGTGGGGGCCCTAAATAAAAATGTTACCCCCCCAGGTGACTGGGGGTCCCTAAGCCCCTAGTCACCCCCCCAAAAAAAATTAACCCCTACCTACCCCCCTCACCCTAAAAATAATGAGGGGGGGACCTTTTACTAAGTACCTGTAAAAAAAAAGTAAAATTTTCCATTCAATGTTTTCTTTCTTCCAAAAAAGGCCAAATAAAAAATCCATAATAACCGACGCACTTTAAAAAAATAAAATAAAAAAAAATCCATCTTCACCCATGGAGGGCTCCGCGCAGACTGAGCTCTGCAGGGCGGGGGAATTACATTTACCTGTTGGCATGAAATCTACCAATCAGAGTGCTCTGTGTCATTTTACACAGCGTGGTAAAGTTATTTGGAATTTTCCCACGCTGTGTAATTTGACTCATAACTCTCTGATTGGTTACTTAATTCTTACATAACTCTCTGACTGGTTACTCAGTCTGCGCGGAGCCCTCCATGGGTGAAGATGGATTATTTTTTAATTATTTTTTTATTATTATGGCTCGTTATTATGGATTTTTTTATTTGGCCTTTTTTGGGGTTGAAATTTTTTTTTTTAGGGCCCCCACCCGCCACTCAGGAGTGGGGGACGGGGGGGAGGACAATAGGTCCCCCCCTTATTGGTATTTATGGCCCCCATGCACCGCTCAGGGGTGGGGGCCGGGGGGAAGGACAATAGGTCCCTCCCTTATTGGTATTTATGGCCCCCACCTGCCGCTCAGGGGTGGGGGCAAGGGGGGAGGACATTAGGTCCCCCCTTATTAGTATTTAGGGCCCCCACCCACCGCTCGGGGTGGGGGCCGGGGGGGAACATTAGGTCATCCCTTATTAGTATTTAGGGCCTGGGGGGAGGACATTAGGTCCCCCCCTTATTAGTATTTAGGGCCCCCACCCACCGCTCAGGGGTGGGGGTCAGGGGGGAGGACATTAGGTCCCCCTCTATTCCAATTTAGGGCCCCCTACCGCCGCTCAGGGGTGGGGGCAAGGGGGGAGGACATTAGGTCCCCCCCTTATTAGTATTTAGGACCCCCACCCACCACTCAGGGGTGGGGGTCAGGGGGGAGGACAATAGATCCCCCCCTATTAGTATTTAGGGCCCCACTCACCGCTCAGGGGTGGGGGCCAGGGGGAGGACGTTAGGTCTCCCCCCTTATTTTACTGTAGGGCCCCCACCCACCGCTCAGGGGTGGGGGCCGGGGGGGAGGACATTAGGTCCCCCCTTATTAGTATTTAGGGCCCACATCCACCGCTCAGGCGTGGGGCCGGGGGAGGACATTAGGTCCCCCCCTTATTTTACTGTAGGACACCCACCCGCCGTTCAGGGGTGGGGGACGGGGGGGGCAATAGGCCATAGGCTGCTCACTATTTAATAGACATGCCCCTACTCGCAGTATTAGTATGCCCCTACTCGCAGTATTACTTAGTATTAGTAAATTTGGCTGAAAGTCCACTTTAGGTCTTTCAACCTTTTAGTAGATAGCTCCCTAATACCGTGGGAATTAGGGAGTTATCTACTTATTCATTCCTGTCATTACATTGACTGGCCAAGTAACTTACATTTTATATGAATGTATGTTACTTGATTGTTGTAAGTGTTGCAAATGCTTACAGCTGAATCCTGGCTATGTTTGTATACTTTTTATTTAAAATTGTATACAGTGTAATATTCTTCATTCTTCCACTGGGTAAGTATATTAGATCTTAGGCAATACTGTGCTTCAGAACTTCGGCACTTCGACACTTCGGAACTTCGGCAACTTCGGCACTTCAGCACTTCGGAACTTCGGCACTTCGGCAATTCCACACTTCGGAAATTCGGGAATTTCGGAATTTCGGGACTTCAACCATTCGGCAATTTATCTATTCGGACATTCGGATGTACCCAAATGTCCGAATTGCCTGAAATTCATCCGAATTCACATTCGGACCGAAATGAATTGCACATGTCTAAAACTTAGTTCGTGTTTACTTGGCGCCATGCCAGACTTAAATATCTCGGTATTTGGCTCACTGCAGACCTGTCCCAGCTATACGCCCACAACTTCACACCACTATTTCACACACTGAAAACTTGACATGCCTCACTGGTTCAGTCTCTGTGTCTCATGGTTCGGTAGAATGAATGCCATCAAGATGAATGTCCTCCCTCGACTTCTATACCTTTTATAAACGATCCTTATATGCTTGCCTACGACCTTCTTCCAATCCAAGGATACAGCCATCTTCAGGTTTATCTGGCATTCCAGGGCACCGAGACTGAGGAGAACTTAATTGCACCTATCGAAAGCACAGGTGTGAGTGGGTCTTTCCTCCATACAAAATTACCAGAGAGCAACACACCTACTCTGGGAGGTGGAATGGCATGTACCTAAGACAACTAAGATTTGGATACACATGGAAAGGACTCAGATGGAAGGGACGCTTCTGGCTGCAGTGTGGCTGCATGGTCCCCTGAGGAACCTGCGGACCCGGAACCACCCGTTCATAGGGGCGACCTTGAGGGCATGGTACTCGATTAGGACCAGACTTATGTTATCCAAAACCCCGGGACTGCTTACCCTAGTTATATATAAACCTGAGGTAGAGGGGGGCCTCAGACCTAAGGACTTCAGCGTATTCGGTGAATCAGACTGGACATACATGAGCCAGTGGTGCACATCGGATGCACTAAAGCAGTTACTGGACCTACTGCAGAACAGGATTCAGATGGGTCTGGACAGATTTCACTACTTCCAAGTTAAGACATACTACATGTCCCAGTATAGACGACACTTATTCCACAGGACTCTGACGGAGTTTGAAGAACTGTGCAGGGCACAAGCGCACCTATACAAGGGCTTCTTGGTTCTCTACACGCTGCTCCAGTCTTCGGCATGACCTGAGCCCGCAAACATATAGCGTGCTGGGAAAGTGCCACTGGTTTCATGCTCTCAGACCCCCAGTGGACACATTTTGACCCACCAGAGCTCAATGTGCTCCAAACAACAGAAACGCAATTACAAATTATTGACCGGATGGTACAGAATGCCGAAGAGGATACATTGTATACTTCCTAAAGGCCCCTGAGACCTGCTGGAGATGCGAAGAAGATGTGGACACAGATCTCTTCATTTGGTGGTCTTGCAGAAAAATAGTACTGGACCGACGTCCACACAAAGATCAAAGACATACTAGATACAGACCTCCTGTTCCAGCCACTCCAGATGGGACAGAGACGGACAGGACAGGAGGATATCACCTCCAGGCCCTGTGGACGAGACACATGGGTGAATGTTCTCACTCCTCAACGACCTGGGGAGGTGTGGGGATGCAGCTTCCGCCCGTGGGGGGACACCGAAACAGCCAACACCCACCCCGAAGAGGTCAAATACTTATTTCACTTATTTACATGCAAATCAATTTATAACTTTTTTGACATGCATTTTTCTGGATTTTTTTGGGTAATTCTGTCTCTCACTGTTAAAATACACCTACCATTAAAATTATAGACATTTAATTTCTTTGTCAGTGGGCAAATGTTCAAAATCAGAAGGGGAGCAAATACTTTTTTCCCTCACTGTACAATGAAATGCTATAGGCATCTATTTTTCATCATACAACATATTGATTCCCATCATCCGTTACTAATGGGATATGGACAGATGCAACAGGTAGAGGATTGAAAGTCTGACCTATCTTATTTTGCTAAAACTGTGCTTGTTCCAAAATAAAATCTTTTCTACATTTGCTTGATGTCTCTAAATTGTGTTGGAATTTGGAGTAACTTTCCAAAGATGCCTAAATATGTTTTTCATAAAGATTCCACCTTTAAGGAAAAAAGTATCAAAAGTGACCAGGTCACTTTAAGCAGCTATCAATAAAAACCTATAGATAATGATAAATTGAGTCTGCTAAAGTGCTATTTTTTTATGCTCCGTGCTGATTTATTTTTGTCTAGGGCACAGCCCTGGCATTAGTTACTTAATAACTAATGACAGACCTAAGCAGTTTTATCAAACAGCCATACATCTTTATACCTTCAGGACTATCGATTAGATATGTAAATTGCTTACCGCTGACTTCAGCGTCGTGTTCTTTTTGCTGATCTTGGTCCTTATTTTTTTGGAGTATCTTGATATCAATTCTTAACGTGACCCTATCCTGATTATTTGACCGTGCTTTAAAATGTATACACTTCTGAATCACCTTGCCTGGGCATATGTTGCTGTGACTATAATTCTCTGTTAACTTTTCTACCTCGTCTGTGAAAATAACGTCCTTCTGAATAGAGTATGCATAAACCTTGGTTCTCAGTATAAAATAAGCTAAGTAGAAAAATATAAACAAAACTAATACAAATATAAAAGATACATATTTTCAGATAGACTAGGGTCCTAGTTTGAGGACTATAAAAGTAGTAACAGTAATATGCTAGGAAAATAATGTTCATGAAGAAATCAGCAAGCTTAAACACCAGTTTAATTAATAGCTTGTTATGAATTAATGTGTTGCTAGTTGTGAACTACTCATTCTATAAAATGCTGCTGAACAGGATTGTATATAGACCACGTTCAGTATTCACATTAAGCAGAATAGGAGTTCCAGGATTGACGTAAAACTTTTCAGTTACTTCCAATTTTGGGCAAACCTCACTGTGTATGCTAATCTTAGGGATTAGCAGCACGTTGAAGAACTTCCAATCTTTCTTTTTTTTTTCTTTGGCCAGTTTTGTGTGTCTTTTTAGGCTTAATAGGCTACTGCAGGCTATTAGCAGACCATGAGATAATACATTCTAAACCAACTATGCAATAAATGAAGTTTAAACATTAGATCTCTCTTTACAGGAAGTGTATAGGAAGACTGTGTAGGTCACACGCAGAGTAGGAGTTGCTATGGCTGCATAAACAAAGTGGAAAAATGTAACATCTAAATATCAAAGAATTGAGAGTTTCCCTGCAGGGGTATGATCTATACCAGGGGTGCCCAATACGCTGATCGCAAAGGTGATGCTGACTTTTAACCGGTGGGATGTGGGAGCACAGAGAACCCCTCTTCCACAGGTAACTCTTTGAAGCCATGCCGAATGCTGAGTATTTACCCTGTACCTGGCTGTTGTGTGTGCAGCCTCAGAGGGGATTGGAGCTGCGAGGAGCAGTTGTGGCATCGCTTTTGACAGCTGAAGGCTGGAATACATGACGCCATATCCTGGCAGAGAGCTGTGGGAGAGAGATGGGCAGCAACACCTCACGGGACTTGTGTGGAGCAATTATGAGAAACAGTAAGTGTGTATATATGAGCCAGTGAGTGTATAAAAGCATATATGAGTGTATGTGTGTAAGAGCCAGTGTGTGTCTGCAAGAGCCTGTGTGTATGTGTGTGTGTGTGAGCCAGTGTGTGTGTAAGAGCTAATGTGTGTGAGTGTGTGTGTGTGTGTGTGTGAAAAAGTTATTGTGTGTGTGTGAGCCAGTTTTTGTGTGTGTGTGTGTGTGTAAGAGCTAGTGTGTGTGTGTGTGTGAGCCAGTTTTTGTGTGTGTGTGTGTGTAAGAGCTAGTGTGTGTGTGTGTGTGTGTAAGTCATTGTGTATATGTATGTGTATAAAAGCCAGTTTGTGTGTGTGCGAGTCATTGTGTGTGTGTGTGTATAAAAAGCCAGTGTGTGTGTGTATGTGAGTGTGTGTGTAAGAGCCAGTGTGAGTGTGTGTGTGTCTAAGAGCCTCTGTGTGTGTGTTTGTGTGTGTATGTGTAAGAGCCTGTGTGTGTAAAAGCCTGAGTGTTTGTGTGTGTAAGAGCCAGTGAGTGAGTGTGTTTGTGTGTGTTCCATTCCTATATTTAGATTTTTACATATACACACACATACTACAGAGATGAGTAAGAAAATCAGAGGGGGAGTGTTACACAAAAGGGGGTAAGAGACCAAAGGTGGCAAAAGTGAAAGACATTCAGATGGGGGTCAAAGACATAAGGGACTTAAGAAGCCACAAAATGTGAGGTAAAAACGCAAAAGCATGAAAAGAATGACAAACAGGGTACAATATTCAAAGAATAAAAAGTAAAATAAAAAGGTGTCAAGATGCACAAAACGGGCAAAAGGATGAGTAAGATGGGCAAAAGTGGGTTAATAGACATACAGGTGTAGAGGAAGTTTGGGGACGGCAAAATTCATCTTCGCCTGTGCAGACAAGAATCCTTGTACAGTCCCTGTTGGCAGCCACACTACTTGATTTTGTTTTGAAGGTAGATCTCATTGAGCTGGTGATTTAAAAGTAGATCATGACACTAGAAAGTGTTGGCACCCCTGATCTATACATTAAAACCAATCACAGACTGCTAAACACATTCACACAGAGACTGCTGAATACACACAGAAACTGCTGAATAAATTCATGCACTGCTGTATACATTCACACACTGCTGAGTACACACAGAGAGACTGCTGAGTACACACACCGCTGAATACATGCACACACTGCTGAGTACACACACAGTGACCGCTGAATACACCCATATTTCTGTGAGGGGTGCTGTGTGTATGTGAGGGGTGCTGTGTGAATGAGGGGAGCAGTGTGTGGAGGGTTGCAGTTTATGGGGGTGCTGAGTGAAGGGGTGCTGTGTGTGGGGCATGCAGTGTGTGTGTGTGAGAGGGGTGCAGTGTGTGGGGTGAGCAGTGTGGGGGTAGGTGCTGTGTGTGTGTGTGGAGTGCTGTGTGTGTGAGGGGAGCAGTATGTGTGGGGGTGCAGTGTGAGGGGTGCAGCGTGGGGAGCGTGTTGTGTGTGTGTGTAGGGTGCAGTGTGTGTGGGTGCAGTGCGTGTGTGTGGGGGGGTGCTGTGTGTGGTGAGAGTGCTGTGTCTTGGGGGGTGGTGATCAGGGAGAAAGTATATATTTTATTTTTTTTGTTTAAAAGTAAAAAAGCATCAAGTCCCTCCCCATCCACTGTTCTTACATTTTGTCAGTCCTGGTGGTCCACTGGAAAATACAGAGTTCTAGCCTGCAGTCCCTCTGCCTGCAGGCTGACTTTTCTCCTCCCTCGAGCATGATGGTAACACGCAGCAACGCTCAGAAGAGCATTCTCGTAGGAGGAATGATCGGCCTCCCGGGTCCTGTCCTCCCTCTCCTGCTGCCCTGGGTCCTCCCTCCCTCCCCAAAATCTTTGATCTCCCCACCGGCCCGAGAGTGTGTCCACAGCAACTGAGCCAGCTCTCAAAAGATATCCCCTGTCGGCCGGTGCCCATGGGTAATTCCATGGGGCCCCTGGGCATGCGGAAAGTAGGCCCTGGATTTAACCCTGTTTTTACATTGCATGGTTGAAGTGACAGGGGCACTGCACTCAAACTCCTTCATTGAGATGAAGTGATCTAGGTGCCTTTAATAGTCCTTTAATACATTTTTATCCCTTAAAGGTGTCTGCATACATCTAATACTGTTTCATACATCCAGGAAACTTCCCTAAACAACCTTTCTAGATTAATTACTTGTGACAATGGTCAGCTGAGTTTCCTGGGACCTCTACGGCTCCTGACGTTCTAAACCATTTATGGGATTGAGAAAGGAGAGGCAGATGCTCTGCTGGTTACAAGGACCAGGGGATTAGATTAACCAGATTAAATTTCAGTGCTCTTTTCTGTTATTGTTGAATTTAACCATGTCAAAACTGAAATAGTTCTGTTTGAACTCTTATTACCATTGACACTTTAAAGTGTATTTCTCAATGCAAACGAGGACAATCTACAACAAATATCCATAGCTGGGATTCACCTGGATTACCTTTTATTACCTTCTACGAGTTTTTCCAATGAAGAAAAATCATATTCAAGAAATAGCTAAAAGGACAACATTGTCTTAGATAGTGCTTTGTAGACTAAAATCTGGTTTTTGAACATGTATCTACAAGTCAATGCGTGCATACCAAAAATATGTAAATAAATATAATCCTGTTGCACTATCCGTATATTTAAATTTTAACTGACAGTTATGAGTAGAGGTCACCTTAAATTAGACAGAACCACTGCAGGATTCCGAGCCGTCGTTGATAATCTACAGCTTCTGCTCTGACTGTAATAGTAATAAACCAGCATATCCCCCCCAGTCTCTGAGCTGAATTAATTATTTCTTTAACAAAGCAAGCAAGCGTTTACAATGACATTTACGAACACACACACACACACACACACACACACAAGGGGGAGTGTCTGCCAATGCTCAGTGCTCAACCAAATTAAAACACTATCAGAGCTGGCATAGAGAGAGACAGAAGGGAGGAGAGACCGAAGATAGAAAACAGATTTAAATATAAAATATTTATGAGAACTAAATAAAACACAGAGACCTGGAAATTTCTGGATTTACTGGAAGAATTATACAGGTAGATCTGTTAATTGGATTTTTATTATTATTATTATTATTATTATTATTATTCATTTAACAAGGATTTATATAGTGAAAGACGTCTCTTAGGGATTTGACCTACCGTTAAAGACAACAAAGCATGCATATGAAATGGAGACAGTATTCAAACAAATGTGTTGGGTGGTTGATTAACTTCATTTACTGCAGAATGTGAGATATCCCAACATCTGGATTAGGTGAGCCATTAAAATATAAGACACAAAATATCTTTTGATGGTGTAGTGAAAATGTTTCATCTATATGGGTACTTGTGCTATTTGAGGTTTCTGTTTTTACAAGTAAAAAGGTTTTTTCGATGTCTAAGGGTTTAAAAGGATTCTATGCTAAAATGAGAAGGGGTCAATACCGTGCTTCTACGAGACAGCACTCAAAGCAGTGAGATTTACTTTGCCTTGTCAAAGGCTTGAAATGTGAATTATTTGATCTTGCTTAAAACATATGCTATCATTGCATAGATTTTCTGAAATTGCATCTGTTTCTTATTGTACACGATCATGTTTGCCCTTTTTAATCATTTGAATTAAATTGTGCATGAACTCCATTGCACAACAATCCTCCAGAAACCTCTCTATTTTTTTTATTTACCCTTTAATAATCTGTTCCCCATCTGCAAAAAGGCACTTTCAAAAATTCCCATAGTAAAGGTGTTTTATTCAACGTACTAAAACGTGGACATACATTTTTATCGTCAAATTATACATTTATCCTACACCACATACACACTGATGTCTTCTCTGTTTCTAGCTGTTGCTTTCCCAAAATATTTCAATTGGTTTGGTGCTCTTGGTCTCATGTGCCCCTAGTTCCACTCTGCTTGTTTTAACTATTTATAGACCAAGATAGATATATCAAAATGGATTAAAGGGAAAGCAATTCTGCTAATCTGCACAGCTCACACTTTAATCCGAAGCTACTAATTCCTCTGTTATTTTTCTGTGCGGGAGTATGCTCCAAATAAGGTAGAAAACATACTGATAATATACACAGTCTATTCCACTTGGTATATTGGCAGGGCTAGAAACTTAAATCATTCATTTGGAATTTTAAGAGAAAGAATTAAATGTTCCCAAAAAGAACGTTCCCAAAAATGTCAAACACTTATTTTGCACATAACTGCCCTAGAGCAAGGGATAAGATCAGGTATGTCAGACATATAATAATCAATATATCATATATTTTGTTCTTCATCATGTACAAAACATTCTCAGAGTCGTTTTTCGGTAAAACTGCCAAAAAATGTTTTCCTCTGCTAAGATTGCGCCATGGTTGTGACCATTTTCCATGGACTGTCTCTATTAACAGAATGTCTGTTTTTTTTTGTTTGTTTTTTATTTTAGATGATAATAAGAGATGTTAAATTTCCAAGCATATTTAAGCCGTGAAAAAAAAGGTATTTTCATAAACAATCTTCCCCTAAACAGACAGTTTTTGAATTAAAAAAAATGAAAATATTATATATAATATAATATATTAAAGGACCACTATAGTGCCAGGAAAACATACTCATTTTCCTGACACTATAGGGCCCTGAGGGTGCCCCCACCCTCAGGGTCCCCCTCCCGCCCGGCTCTGGAAGGGGGAAAGGGGTTAAAACGTACCTTTTTCCAGCGCTGGGCGGGGAGCTCTCTGCCTCCGAACCTCCTCCGTTCCTCCCCGTCGGCTGAATACGCACGCGCGGCAAGAGCTGCGCGCGCATTCAGCCGGTCGAATAGGAAAGCATTATCAACGCTTTCCTATGGACGCTTGCATGCTCTCACTGTGATTTTCACAGTGAGAATCACGCAAGCGCCTCTAGCAGCTGTCAATGAGACAGCCGCTAGAGGCTTTGGGGGAAGGCTTAACCCATTACACACTAAAGCGAATTTCAAATTTTAGACCTAAAAAGTTGAACTGGAAGCAAAGATGACTTGATCAAATTTTCCATTTCAGTTATTTTGGCCTTATTTTTGAAATTCACTTTGAATTCACGACAATTCTTACTTTAGTAAATAGTCCTGCTAATGTGTAATGGTATAAAAAGGCAGCTTTGGCATATTAAATAAATAGTTACAAGAAAACATGCAGAAAATAATTACAAATTCAGTGTACTTGTTTGCATTTTTTTTTTTTTTTTGTCAAGTGAACTTTCAGGAATACTTGAACTGTAAGGGACCTATTATGCCACTTTATGGGGAGCATAAACAGACAAAGGCCACATTGTGTGGCCAAAACTTTGTTACCTACATCTAGTTATTAAACCCTGCTTAACACTATCTTGGAGTGCTCCAACCATTTCCTTAATAATACAACAGTTTACAAGGAGCAGAAAAAAAGTAACTGAGAAAAAAGGCGAAGGGTGAAGTTGAACCAAGAAGGATCTAAATAAAATAAGTTTATAAAAACACAAAGATCAAGCACCAGAACATTCTTTTAAGTGGATACCAACAACAATCCTGACAAGAGTCTCTCTTCATGGGTAGGGTAATGGTAATTGTTCACAGTAGGTTGATCGTTGCACTTCAGATGAGCATATATGTAAATAAGTTGAGATCAATTAAATGTTAAGTTTTTTATTTAGATTAATGTACATGTAAAACAAAAAGAACAAAAATAGGTCCAACGGTGGAATATATCACTATGTCAGGACAGAAGTATGTGTGGAGTGCAACTTACATTAGGTCGAGCTTCACACCAGCTCTGAGGTTTTGAGTCTAGTCGGAACAATCCCCAACTGAGGCTATGTGACATTCTTTCAGCGGGACACTCACGATTTTGGATTCCTGTCCCAACATCCACCTTCAGTTCCCTGATGTCCAACAAATGGGGACACTACGGAACTGTCCCCGGGCAGTACTTTATCATTAGACATGCTTGTGCTGTGCAGGTAGCGCTTCAGCAGCTGGGGTCTGGCCAGGCTGTCTGTAAGTCTGTCGGTCCATGCCTGCCTTTATTAGCGTCGCTAGTGACTTGATTTGTATCACTGGCAATGCTCTTATGTGGCCTCACCCACCTGAGTCACAGTAGTGAAATGTTGGGAGGTATGTTATACATTGGATAAATTCTTTATTTTATTTGGTTTTTTTTAGTAGATCACCTTGTCAACCCATTGTGTTTTACCACCTTCAATGTTACTATTTTATGCTTTGCATGTATCTTGTTTATTATTTTTTACATGCATTATATTTTGCTTACATAAAGATCTGTTGGATTTGTAATAGATACATAAATTGCAATAATACCGCATACTATATATCTCTGTTTTTCATGGAATTCATATATTTTACATTGTCAGTAAACAAAGCAAGTCATTTACCAGTTTTAAAGAACTTTACATATTTTACAGCCAATATACATTGCATCACATCTCATCTCTTGCTACAACTATTCTATAAGAAGCACCTGAAGTGTTACCACAAGATTGAATGGGATTCCAGAATAATAGATTGCTTTCTCACAGGGCCGGTGCATCCATAAAGTGGCACACCAGCTCTGGGTGCGCAAGATACGAGTGACCGGCAGGACAGAAGCAATCAGCGCTCCCCCTATCAGTCTCTCTGTGTAGCGTGGCTGAGTGGAGCAGACCACGGTACAGGGGCTTCTGATTTCTGTACCCGGCCGGACTGAGAAAGCACTTCCTCTCAGTCCGTCCCGGTACAGGAAACAGAAGCTCCTGATTCGCGGTCCACTCCACTCAGCTACGCTACAAATGAGATAATGTGACACACCAGGGAAGGGAGGAACACTAAGGGGTTGGGGTGTGGGTGTACACAAAGGGACACGGAGAGTAAAAGCACCACAAGGGACGGGAGAGGAACACTTAGGGACAGGGAGGAGAAGGGAGAGATAAACTAAGGGACAGAAAGGGGAGGGGAGAGGAAACCACTATGGGGAGGGGAGACCACTAAGGGACAAGGAGAGGAGACCACTAAGGAACAGTGAGGGGGAGAGGAGACCACTGAGGGACAGCGAGAGGAGACCAACAAGGGACAGGAAGAGGAGACTACTAAGGGACAGGGAGAAGAGACCACTAAGGGAGGGAGGGAGACTAATAAGGGACCTGAGGTGAGGGGAGAGGAGACCACTAAGGGACAAGGAAGGAGTGGAAGAGCTCACAAAGAAACAGGGGAAAAGGTGAAAGAGACATGCAAAGGGGGGGGGGATAAGAGACACACAAGGGGTGTTGTAAGAGATACCCAAGGGAGGTGTAAGAAACAATGGAGAAAAATAAGGGATAAGATACACTAAAGGGGGTAAGACATTTAAAAGAGGGGATACAAAACACAAAAGGGGACACAGGTGAAGTGAAGATGCTTTTTTGGGGGGTGGCAAAATGCATCTTCGCCTCTGAACCCAAAACCCCTTGCACCGGCTCTGCTTTCTCATGAACTCAATCAGTTTTATCCTGATCAGCAGGAGTCATCATGTCTGCAAACTAAGCTCCTGAGTAGTTATTGAATGCAGTAGTTTGCAATGTTTATATATCTGTAAAATGTTGTTGAGAAACTTTTTAGGATATATTCACAAAACATCCAACTTTTATAAATTGAAAACTTAAATTTAAATCGCCAAGATGTGACTATAGCTAAATCCAAGTATAGAATGTATTTTCCTTATCAGCTATTTTAGCCTTAATGTTGTATTTCAATTACTCTAAGTACGTACGTATGTACGTACGTACTTTTGAGACCAAGTCAAGAGATCAGAAGCTACCAACTTTGCCAAGTAGAAGCCCACAAGCAAATAAGAAATTGTACACTTTCTCTTATGACAATTTCAGTTCCTTCCTAGAGCCAAAATCCATAGAGTTTGTGCATTATGTAGGACATGATTAATTGGAATGAACTTATATAAAATATTTTGAGCTGGTAAATAGAATGCAGATTCTAAACAAGAACGTTTTGAATGGACATTCAATATTTGTTATTCTGAGTGGGGCGGAGGATAATTCCTCAGGCTTTTTTTCTTCCAGGCCTTCACATCTCCTTATTACTGTTAAAATATGGGGCTGGGGCAACGAATCTCAAAACAAAACAACAAAAGTGTAAAACAATAAATTCATATTTACCATTTGACGTTTTCATTTAGTTTTTCTAATCTTCTTTCTTTTTCCCCTAAATAGCCAATGTAAGTGGCTAGGGGCTTGGGGATCACAAGCCTCCCAGGAGTGCTTAGCTTTAAGGATCAATGAGACCAGGTATCTCCTGTATACTTGGAGACCCATAAATGTTGAAAGGGATTTATCCGTTACTAGAATCAGAACATATGTGAGACCAGGCATCTCCCGTGCCTTGTTTGCCCATGCATTTAAAAGGGGATTAACTTCTGAGGGAGTAGTATTACCATTTACCCCTCTGCACATGCAGTGACAAATGGAGTAGGGGACACTTGTCCAAGGACACAATATTTTTTCAATTAGATTTTTATTTCAAATTTTATAGAAAACCTCTCTTTAGTGCATACAAGTGTCAGCATATATACCTATTTTATTTCCACTTTGGATGATAAACCATCTTCTGTTTTTTAAAAAAATTCTTTATGTTATTTGTGCATAAAGAATTAACAATAAGGCAGTCAACATGTTGGTACAGCGTTTGCAATAAGTCACGTTTCATAGTTGTTTCGGATAACAATAAGGTTACATTCTTGTTCTTACATGAGGTACAAAGTTCGGAGTGTGTCCAATATAATTATCTTATTGCACATTTCTTTGTTTTGTAACGGATTGAGGTTAACTGGGAAACAGGATTGTGAGGTCTTACGACTTCTGGATATAAAGGGGGGTATGAGGATATTCTCCATTTCTGTTCTCTGATGGCGTTGTGTGTTTCTGTCTGGTGAGGCTGTGGGTGGACCGATCCTAGGTATCGTTTTGTCAACTGTGCCTCATGTGCAGTGGTGGTGCGTGCGTCATAGTGTTGGTGTATGCAGTCTGCGGCGTCCCCATCTGGGCCTGGTTGGGTGTTTGGGGTGGGTGCGTGTTGGTGGTGTCGGGCCCGTGGGTGGTCATCGTCAGCCTCTGGGTTGTGTCTGTGCTTCCGAGTGTGTATGTGGTGGAGCATGAGTTGCCTGTGTATTTTGGTTTGTGGGTGGTTTCGCTGCGAACTTGGTTGGGCTAGTGGGCTTTCGGGGAGGGGGGCGTCGGAGAGTCCCCGTGTACTGTGGTTCGTCTTTTGTATGTTTTTGTGTGGCCTGCGGGTATGTGTGCGTACGTTTCGTTCGGTTCTCGTGGGTCATGGGTTCATGATCTTGGTGGGGTGCTGATAGGCGAGGGAGGTGGGTAAGTGTATTCTGAGCTGTGGTGGGATCTTGTAGCCCCCTTTGTCTTAGTCATTCAGGTTATTAATATTGCATGAGTCTTCAGCCGTGGGGCGTGGGACTCGTGGAGTGGGGTTCGGTTCTGTGGTTTGGTTGTGGGCCGTGGTGGTGGTTGTGTTAGTAGTTCAGTGGTGGTGGGGGGGCTTCAGGTGTGGGAGGGTGGGGGAGAGGAAGAGAAAGAAGAGAGGGCGAGGGAGAAAGAAAAGGGAGAGAAGAAAAAAAAACATTTGGGGTTGGGGGGAACGTGTATTTGTTGTGGTCGGTTGGGCCTTATGTGTATAGCTGGTTCCTGTGTGTGTTATGCGGAGATTGGGAATTCGTAGAACCATGGGTCCCATATTTTGTCAAAGTGTTTGGTTGTACCATTGCGGACCTTTCGTCCATTTTTATTGCGTCTGTTATTTTCTGCCGTATCAATTCCATGGATGGCGTTTCTGGGCTGCCCCATTTTTCAGCTATTGCCCGCCTGGCCCACCTTATTTTTTTAATGTTGTTTTTTAGTCATTATTATTTGACACGTGTGGATATTTATTTATAAAATAAAGGTACCTATTGTTTTCTTTCTTGTTCGTTTTATGTTTATGTTAGTTTGTACATTTCACACCCTGTGCGCTCTTTCTATAGGCAATAGGTCATTATTGATAGTGCAACCTCTTGTCATTTTCAGGAATACATATAATGTTTGCTCTGGTCTATGTAATTCCATAATTTCCATCCCGTAATTTAAATGATTTTATTTGTCCTCTATTATTTTCCTTTTCCTCCCTTACCCAAAGCCATGGGTGGTTGCATGGGCCCCTTTTATACAATTTCTGCACTCTGCCTGCCCATTCTTTCTCTTTATATCCAATATTGAATTCGATGAGGATTAAAAAATAAACAAAAAAACTTCACTGGTAATAAGAAACAGGGATTACATAAGAATAATTGCTCAGAAGCAAAGAGTTAATCAACTTGTAAGAAGAGAATAAACTGTTTTTTATTTTCTAACTATGTTCACCTGTAATATCTCCACTGACTACCCAGTTTGATAATCACCCTCATTCTTTACAATGAATTTATGTTGCCTCCCAACATTTCAGCTTGTAACGATTTGTTAAAGGTGATCAGCATCTGATTCCTATACAATGCACCTTGTTTTTCTTGTAAATGTTTTATGAATCTAAACATGGGTACATTGACTGTAATAACGATGAATCTTTCAGATATAATTTAGTGTTCTTTCTTTTTCTTGACTTTCCATCGTACTCTTACAAATGATGTAAAAGAAAAACAAGCTTGACTCATCACCAATTAAAAATGTTATTTCCATAAACGCATCTCTATTGCCCATCGCAAAACGCAAGTGAATAAATCTTGGTGTTTTAATTATGAATTAATTACTCTGCCATTTATGAGCTACTTTCTGGCATAATTAAATTCCCCTTTGTGAAGCTAATTATTGTTTTTGAAATCTGCTGCCTGTCTTACTCCCTTGTACAGTTTCTTCCAGACATAGTCAGGCTCCTCAAAGAGAAAACTAAACTGTTTTGGGAGAAAATATATGAAAAGATTCATTTTCAAAATCTATGGCTTAAAGCATGATCATAATTAAACTAATAGCTTTCCCATCTTTTGTTATTATAAAATCTTTATTCACACCTATCCCAGCTTATCTCACCCCATTTAAGCTTGACTATTTACCTGGGAACCTCTGTCTCTCCTTTTCCAGTAAGGAGAGCCAGAAGGTCCTGCTATGCAGAGCCAGCTCCTTAGCTGAGTGTGTCAGTCGATTTCTTCAGCCATTGGTGAAAGCACTGCATCACCAGATCTAGTGCATGCAGGTAGCTTCTTACTGCCGAGAGACAGGGAGCGATGCCCTATGGACTACATGTAAGAAGCCAATAAAATTTAAGAAAATGGTTTGGCTACTTACAATGTGGAGTGGGGAGAGCATGGCTCAGTTGGCACTATAACTATTAAAGCACAATGTAGTGTTTACAATGCTTGGAATGTTCCTTTAAGAGCATTCTGCTCTGTACTTTTATTATTTAAACTAAAAACTGTTTTGGAATTAATGGCAGATGTTAGTACAGACATTTATTTTTATCCAATGCATTTTTCTGTGGTTACTAATGTGTTCTTGTCCCTGCGGAGACAGGGACAGTGCAATTCTTTCTACGTAGTATCTCTCCTGGCATAACAGTAAAGAGAGATGGATGAATTAAGGACAGCAGCTTCAAATAGCAGCTGACACTCAAAAAAAGTAATTTCTACCTATATAAGACAGGCATAATATAGGTTACAGAGCTGCCATATATTTAACCCCTTAAGGACCAATCTTCTGGAATAAAAGGGAATCATGACATGTCACACATGTCATGTGTCCTTAAGAGGTTAAATAAATCATAACCCTAGCCTAACCCTAATCGTAAACCTAGCCCTAACCTTAATTTAATTTAAAAAAAATGTACATATATGTATAGCAAACGATACATAATGCTGAACTGTGCATTAAGGGAATATAAGGCCAACTCTAGTTCCTAGAAAATTTAAACTACAACTGGAATGTAAGGATTTATTATGATGTCTTAATGACATTATTTTCCCAAAATATGCACAATCTTTTCAAACGGGAGCTCATTTGGACAGGGTCCTCTTCACCTGTTATACATGTTTAGATAGATACAGCCCTGCACAATTTATTGCTGCTATATAAATAATCATAATTGTAACACACATAACATAAAGCTAAATAAAACATTGCATTTCTTTTCCTTTTATACATAATACATAAACATTGATATATACTTTTATTTTCCTCTAGGTAGATGTCATACATACGTTGATAACAAAGAAAACTAAATCATCATTTTCATTTTGAACAATCAGTTCTCATAAAACATAGTTCTGGGCAAAAATTGTTAGTGTTTATCCTTCTTTAAAAAGGAACTGTCCCTTCCCTGGATTTTTTATACAATGTTTGATTATCCCTATATTTAACAAATATGTTTTTGTGAGGTGTTAAAAAAAAATGACATGTAAAAATCCACACCTCTTTATCCTTCAACTAGGTGCCACCATTTTAACTCCATTTCAGTTCTGTCCTTTGTACCTGGCAGTTTGCATAGAGAAAGCATATAGAAAAGAGGATTAATGGAACAAGGTTTCAATTTCTCCTGTCCATTTGCAATGTTTTTCTTGTCTGAAATGGATTATTTGCTAAATATTTAATGTACATTTTAAAGAATACAGAGCATCTAATGAAAAAAGGTTAACACAAAATATAACTATTTTATGTTTTTCAAAACAGGTTTTATTAAAAAAAAATATGGCGCTTCCAGACAACTCAAGCTGTTTCAGACATGGGGATGATTTTCACTCATTTCCAGAAATCATAGAACTCAATGTTGGTGGGCAGGTTTATATCACTCGTTATCCCACTTTAATCAGTGTTCCTGGTTCACTTCTGTGGGATATGTTTTCTCAGAACAATTCTCGACCCTTGGCCAGGGACAGCAAAGGACGTTACTTCTTGGATCGAGATGGATTTCTTTTTCGATATGTGTTAGACTATATGAGGGACCAACAACTGGTTCTTCCCGACCATTTCCCTGAAAGGAGTAGATTGCAAAGAGAAGCTGAATACTTCAAACTTCCAGAATTGGTCAAAATATTGGCACCAAAAGTAAGCAAGCAGAACTCAGTAGGAGATGATACATTTCAAAGTGACTCTGAAGAACAGTCCCCTAATGCTGAGGTCACCCGGAATTTGTCTTCTGTGAGTGCGGCTCTTGCTGTTGCAGCTAGTAACTCATCTGCCATACCTGACCTTCGCCGCTCTGGGTTTATTACAATTGGGTACCGAGGCTCGTATACACTAGGCAGAGATAGTCAAACAGATGCCAAGTTCCGAAGGGTTGCAAGAATCATGGTTTGTGGCAAGACCTCATTGGCCAAGGAAGTATTTGGGGACACACTGAATGAGAGCCGGGACCCAGACAGACCACCTGAAAGATATACATCCAGGTACTACCTGAAGTTCACATTTCTTGAACAGGCTTTTGATAGGCTAGCTGATGCTGGATTTCATATGGTTGCCTGTAATTCTACTGGAACCTGCGCCTTTGCTCACGAGCAAACGGACGACAAGATTTGGACATCTTACACTGAATACGTTTTTTACCGTGAGTGAAAGCACACAAAACCACTAACCTCCCTCCCCACTTCTCCTCTGCTTTTTGCAACTCCTCATGTAGCAATAGACTTTATACCTCCCTCTGTGATTTTCCAAAGCTGACAGTTATCCAAAACTTTTCACCTGGTGTCCTTCTGTAGACTCAAATCCTTTGTTGTTCCAGAAGAATGTTGTCTTCAGGTTTGCCCAGAAGGAAAATGTCACATCTTGCCAAGTCATCTCCTTCCTCTGCTACTCCCTTCCCTTTTTTTATTCCTACCTGATGTAATATTGCCACAAAAGTGTATCTATACTTTTATAATGACTGTTTTTGATGCAAAAACTTGACCATTGTATATACATGCATGTTTAATATGGGTAAGTATATGGTTACTTGTAAATGTGTATATGAATTCTATCAGGTATGTATTCACACATTCTAAAGTCATCAGTTAAATATGTTTTAAATTAGGGAACAATCAAAATTCACGATTAAACCATCAACAAATGTATAAACTCATAATGTTGACTCAAAGAACAATTTGTATTTTTTCATCCAAAATTTCCTCTACTGTGAATTGACTCCTGCATCTTGCTAGGGAAAGCACTTTGCCAAAAAATGTTTTATTATTATTATTACTTTTCTTTTTTGCTGCAATTGCAGGTTTATTTAGATTGTAGGTATATTACTTAAAGGACCACTATAAGCACCCAGAACACTTCAGCTCAATGGAGCAGTCTGGGTGCCAGGTCCATCTAGTTGTAACCTTTCAGCTGAAAACATAGCAGTTTCAGGGAAACGGCTGTTTACACTGCAGGGTTAATCCAGCCTCTAGTGGCTGTCTCACTGACAGCCGCTAGAGGTGCTTCCACGATTCTCACTGTGAAAATCACAGTGAGAAGACACTGACGCCCATAGGAAAGCATTGAGTAATGCCTTCCTATGGGCGGTTTGAAAGTGTGTGCGGCTCTTGCCGCGCATGCGCATTCGGCGCTAATGTCGGCAGGAGGAGGGGAGTTCCCCAGCGCAGAGGGAGCCTGGCGCTGGAGAAAGGTAAGTGGCTGAAGGGGTTTAACCCCTAAGGACTACATAGTGAAAGGGGTTTGTTTTCCTGGCACTTGTTTTCCTTTAATAGCAGATTAAAAAGGAGATGTATTGCAAGCATGAGGGCTCAGAGACATTTACTCCACTGAACAAATATTAGTGACGGATAAGAAACAAAAATCTGTTTATGTGGTTATAAACTGTAAACACGTCCATGGAGGAAGTGCTTGGTGACATATGATGGCAGCACATGCACAATGACATTGTCATGTATATCCCAACCAAACATAAATACTTTAATTGCATTATAAAATAACATTAAGTATTGATTAAAGATACACAGTCTGAATTTAAAGGGTTTACCCAGTTTATAATCAATACAAATAGAACGAAAGACAGATGGACAGACAGACATGCGATTTGGTAAATTATTCAAAAATGGATCCCCTTTGTTCACTCTGGCCATTATATAATCATGCTTATTGTTAGTCATAAAGGTACCTTGGTGTGAGCTTTCATGCTCTGAATCATTGTAATAAACTCCACTGTGGCTACAGCACACACACAGAGCTTCGGTACAATAGCTTTGCCAGTGATGAGTAGCAGAATGATTGAAGCTTCAAGAAGGACACTTGGGATGTATAGGTCATGCGTCCATTTTCTGGTCATTAACCACGACATGAATTGAATTTGCATTCTAAGATGACTTAAAATATAAAACAGAAACCAGCTGTCTTTTCTGCAGCCATGAAGATAAAAAAACATTTGCCAATAAAATAGATGTGAGTTTTTAATCAGAGTTAGTTGCTAACTTTCATTACTTCCAATTAAAATATCACTTCATCACTGCAAGATTTTCCAAAACTTAAAAAAAACCTTAAAAATAAACAAATAAATAAATGCACCTTTAAGACGTTCGTTCTGACTATCCTATAATGCAGTGGCGGCTGTTTAACGATACCTCCTGGAATATGACTCTGTCCTCTGACCAGTAGGGCCCTGCTTATTTAGCCCCATGTACTCAACTAATTAAAAGTCATGTCCATTTCAACACCATAAACTTACAGATACATACATTTGCCAAACAACCTCTTTAAGTTAGTCTGACTCTACCCATTGATGCTGTTACCCACTGACAGCCTTGAATACAGGACAATATGCAGGCCTGTTTTTTTAGAGTGGCCAGTAACTGTTGACCCACTGCTACCTAAGAAATATTATAAGAGCAGACTAAGCATGTCTATACTAAATGAATATCATGCCTCCCAAAAGACCTGATTTCAGTGGGACAATCCTGATTTTTGGGTCCTGTACTGCAATCCCTTCTTAGTTTCCTGGTGAACTGCCCACAACAAGCATAACAGAAGTCAAACATATACACAATAGAACAATACACTAATGTGTATACACATACAATAAAATACTTATTGTATAACTGGAACAGCATAGTCTTCACTTATCAATTGTGAAATGGTTGCAGAATAAAAATCTAAAATAGATAAAACACAGCAAACATAGTGTAAACTGTATAGATATATAGAGTAATAGATATCATAGTAACACTTACAATCTGTGGAGCCATATCAGGCTCTGTAACGTGCTCCCAAAATGCCTATTCAGGCCTAAGATCCAGGGAAGAAAACTGGAATGTAAGGGTAAAATGAATGGACTAAAGATTGTAGCAATGAAAAAAAACACCACAAAATAAAATGCACCACTTAGTCCGTATAAATGATAAATACAGTTTTACAGCAAACGTGTTTTGACTATAGTATAAAGTCTTCATCAGTGCTGATAATTGCGACTCCAAACCTTTGCACTTTTAGAAGTTCACTTAAATCTGCGAATACAACCCCCATGGGTTAGGATCTGACATCAATTCCAGATCTGCTCATCACTTCTGGTTGAGTGGTCTCTATGATGCTAACATGAATATCCATCCCTCCTCTATTTCCTAATTTCTGCTGTAAAACCTAATGCTGGCTCTTGTCACCATATTTCATGTGCACAGAACGTCCAAAATAGCCGAGTATGATATAATGTAAAAATCAATACATGATGAAACACAGAAGAACGGATCAAATAAGAGACATATTTCAGAATGAGTTCTCTTTGCAACATAAAAACAATAATAATAATAAACAATAATAAATTAAATTTAGACGTCAGGTAGATACGTGAGAAAGGGGCATCCCTCTATCAGTGGGGGGAAAAATTAACAAAAATGTAGAATATAAATTATAAATGAACCACTATTTAATAATGTAGCATTTCAAAATCTAGGAGGTGCAAAAATGTAGAATATAAATGAACCATTATAAAAAATATACCATTTCAAAATCTAAATGTAATCCACTGGGTGATAGAGTGTCCAATTCAGATATCCATCTACTACTCTACTCTACATTAAACTTGTCTTCAACCATACCGTTTTTTTCTTTTTGTATATGACCATAAAGCCTAACTAGGAGGGATGAAAAAGGGCTGAAATACAGTGTTTAGGATACCTCCTCTGAATGTTCCCTATGTGTTCCAATATGCTGGTGTTGAGACTACTACTAGTAGTCATCCCCATATCTTGCAAACCACAGGGACACCAGAGAAAGTATATAACATTAGAATAAAGGCGTATTAAGCCTCGTTGACTTTGTATTTCTTTTTTGTAGAATTAGATGAAAACTGTCTCTGTTTTAAATTATTTTTAAATTATTAGTTTTTCTAAGTAGGATTCTTAAAGGGAGATCCAAACCCCACTCCAGATGATAGGGAAGGATGTCAAGTAGTGTTTCAGGAATAATAAAATACTTTAAATTTCTATAAAAGTAAATAATTTATTCCAAAACAGGTCAGATAAAAAACAAAAGCATCATCAAAAGTCCAATAGTCACCAAAACGTGTTTCACCTAATAGGCTTCCTCAGTTGGTGTATTGCTCCTTTTCCCTCCTGATTCTAAGGATGCCAGTATACTAAATTTTGATGTTATGACATCATTTTATTTTGTTTCAATAAATGCTTTGGGAGCATAGGGCACCATCCCTGCCCCTATGAACCAGCACACGCTGCTATAATGCTATATGTTCTTCTGAAGGCATGTCATTGAAGTGGTCTGTGTGCTGTGCCTCTGTATGTTTAACCCTGATAAATGTTTATATTGCAGGGTTAACTCCACCATTACTGGTTGTCTTTCTGACAGTAACTAGAGGCACTTCCTGTTTCCTAATGGAATTTTACTCCTTTAAACAACGTTAGACACCCTCATGCAAATTCCCCATAGGAAAGCATTCACCTAATGCGTTCCTATGGGGAAGCTTTAATGTGTGCACGGTGACATCCAACAATCGTGTGTCATCCCAGAAGGAGGAGACTTAGCCATTAAAGAACTAAGGTAAATATAAAAGTTTTTAACCCTTTACATGTCAGTTGGGGAAAGGGACACTATTGTATTTGGAATATAGGTTTGTATTTCTAATACTATAGTGTTCCTTTAATTCTAAATCCCCTAACAACAATTATTTGATATGCATGGGCCGCGTTCTGTCCTGTCTAGATCTTGATCACACCTTACAAGAACTGTCCATGCAAATGCTCTAATTTAGGCCAGGCGGGTGAATGTGCGTTGAAATCCCAGCTCTAGCTCTGAGCATTATTCATCAGCAATATCATATACGTGGCAAATCACAGGCATGTGTTATCACCCTTCATATCATCTGTGATTTCCTTCAAAACAACCAGAAGGATTATTCGGTGGTCACCTACAGATTGACTCCTTGAGGACACGGTCCTATAATAATGTTTACTCTAGTGTGCTAGGAAACACTACAATATCTTTGTTACATTTCTTATTCTTCAATATTTGCTCTTCATGTAACAATATGGGGTTCGCATATTTTTTTACAATTTTTTTGTGTTTATTAAGCCGGTTTTGCATGTTACAGTCACTTGAAAAAGTCCGAGACGTAAATATAACAATCAGCAACATAGCTTTCTTGATTTATAAAGTCATGATCCTTTCATTTTCATTTTTGGCTTTATTGCATTAACAATATAGTAAATGCTCAGTAATTCATGATGACATAACATTAAAGAATTCACTAATTCCTTTGACCCAGATTATTCTAAGGGATAAATAGCAGGAGTGAGCAATCATGAGTTTATGAAGCACAATTCTCCATATAGTAACACGTTATTAACCAAAAACTGTCTCCAAAATAAAACGACATTTAGTCTGTTGTGCCATAATTCCCACTCCAAATGAATCAATAAAAATACAACATTTTTAGATGTGATGCTGCTTCATAGTTGTGGTGGGTAGGTGGTTTCTGTACTAGCAATTGAGTCCCGATACATGCTTCATTTTGCCATTACAGGAGCATTTTCAGGCTAAATGTTTAGGTTTCACAAAAGAAAATGACATACTATTAAGTTCTTTATTTTGCAGTCAGTTTGTCAAGCCAGCCTGTGCATAATTCATAAAATAATTCAAGCAGAGGAATGGTGTATGGATGGTGCATGTGTGTGGGGGTGGAGGGGCCGGGGAAGGGTAGAGTTATATAGAATTGCTTTTTGTGTGACCATATCCTGTAGTGTTAAACGGTTTTCAAACAGACAGCGGAATTATGAAGATAGAAAATCCAAGGGACATTTTATTTTAGGAGAGTGAGTGGGGCTGTTGCAATTCTGAGATGTGTTAAGCAACCTAACAGTAATTTATGTATCACATTTGCATACATACTGATTTCTAAAAACATTTATTGTAGATTAAAGGCACATTACTGGGATTCCTATTGCTGTGAAGCTGCATTATACACTCAGACACACCAACAATATGGACATTAGGATAGAAAAAGGGATTGAGGAATTTGAGCAGATAATAGGGACTCCTTCTCCAAAATAGGGACTCTTGGGAGGTATGTACACGTATAAATATGCATTTATATATTGTTGCACACAAAAGTAAAAGGGAATTATTTTTCATTTAATGCTTTCTGTATTCAAGCAATATATCAGACTCTTGCTATTCTAGCTACAGGAGGTGCGAGGCATGTGCTGCCTGTTGCATCACCCTTTAGTCACAAAACTCTTGCATGATACAGCCATAGGGACTCAGTGCTATGAAGATTTATTGTTACTAAGCTTCTGGTTGATACTGTAATTACTGCAGGCGAAAGCACAAATTCATTTACACCATCAGCTCCTCCAATATGTTATTCTTTAGAATGAGGCAAACAACCTTCTAGAATGTTATGTAATGATTCCCTGCCTTCCAACCAAGCCCAAATTAAAGTGGCACTGTTACAAAATTACAAATTGGAGGTGTTATTTCGCTCTCTATATTACAGAGGACGTGGGCCTAACAATGAAATGGTACCACAGTTAGATATTGGGCTTTACAGGACCCAGGGTCTCCTGTACCTGCTAGCCAACCCCCCACCCAGCAATGTCCCTGCTTGATGGCCTGTGATAGCTGTGAGCCTATCTGTCATTTTAAAATATTACATTTTGACAACTTGGGGAAGCATACTAAGAGAGATCTGTAGTCAGTGAAGACACCAGTCTTTTAATTTAAAAAGGAAAACCGACTCCTTCATTTGCCTCGACTGTCACTGAAGATACGGACATGTGGAGGACAAAACATGCATAAATGGTCGGCAAAGTTTGCACAGGCTCAGGTATATAAACTTAGGTTCATAATAATTATATACTTTATATAATGAGGTAGAGGCAGGCAATATCTACCTACACTGTTTCAATAAAAATACATGATAGGTAAACAGTGGGGCAATAACTCCCACTGTAGTTCCATCAGTGCAGTAGCCAAAACCAGAAAAATTGGAGAAATGCACAACTGGTAAAGTGAACACCCAGGTGCTACCATATTTATTTGAAAGACAACATACAAGTTGCAAATGTTTTGGGCTGTGGCCCTTTGTCAATGCTATAATGATAATTATATATTTGGCAGTATTCCCAGTCTTCTTTTTCTATTCTGAAAACTGAGGACTAGCATCTAGCACATGGTTTAACATGTATGATTTATTTATAATCAATTATTATCAGTTTATATTATGTGGAATGAAGTGTTCTTTTTACTAAAACTGGAAAAGTCTACTTATGAAATGATGTTGTGTTGACCTTTAAGGGGCATGTTAATATTCACTTATTATCCTAAATCCCTGGTTAATCCCTGTATGGGAAAATCCTGTTCTTTTAAACAAATGAAATGTGGTGGGGGTGTAACTAAATAACACACGCATTCTTAGATGCACTCAACGCAGAATGGGGCAAACAAAATAGTAAATGACACAGTACACTTGTATAGAAATTATTACTGTAGAGTTTCAAGCAGGAAAAAAAAAATATAAAAAAAATCTAGACAATGAATCAAACTGAAAATTACAGGAGCCTTTGTATTAGTGATGTAGAAAAGAGATAAACCGTGAAAAATGCTGCATAATTAGAAACAACTGGAGCTTCATAACATTGATAAAAAAAATATGCACTCAACGGCCTTAACTGTAGAACTGGTTATGTGTACTAATTCATCAGGGGCTGGAACCCTATTACGATGGTGCCCCTTTTCTTTGTATATCAGGTCCACCATATTGTAATTGTAAAGCCATTGCTCTGTGTCTGTTACTAATCAATCTGTATGTCCCAGCCAACCCCTATGTGTCTCCTATCCAACTGTCAACTACCTCGATGTTTTGCCACCACCTTTGGGTGTCTGTCACCCATCCCACTATGTGTCTCTCATTCATCCCCTATCACTCAAATACCCTAGAACTCTCTATGTGTCCTCTATCCTCCTTTCTATGTTTTGTCAGCTTTCTGACTTTCCTGATATTACCGTAAATCTCTCAGTTAATTTCAGGTTTCTCATACAGCATTTTTCATTTCAACCTACTTGTCTATTAACCAATAATCAGTGTCTCTCAGCAGCCCCATGTACCTCTCACATTTTCCCAAGCTCCTAGGCCCATTTGGAATTTTGAGTCTGAACTTAAGCCTATGTTCACGAGACCCCCATTGTAATATTATGTCCCCAGAATACAAAGATCTCCTCTATATAGCTGTGGGTCATTGGACCTTGGAAGACACTGGGCTTCTCTCAATGACTGCTGGACACATAACAAAGTAACGATGCAGGGAGTAGTTCTAAAAGGCAAATTCACACTCTGTCACAATATTTTGCTTATATCCATTTTCCTTAGCCTAACTATCTGTTGCTTTCACATCTGCTCTCTGTTTCCTAGATCCTTCAGTGATTTCCCATGATCTCTGATCTCTTTGTTTCCCTTGCTTATTTCCATCTGTGTCCCCATATTTTTCCCCTAGCCTGATAGACTCCCAATGTCCTCAGTCCTATATTACTTAACAACCCATGTACTGATAACTCCCTACTCCATTTGGTGCCTTCTCTCTCCACACCAGCTTTACTCAACTGATCTCTCTCATTATGCTCATTAACACCTTTAATGGCCATGTCTATCCATCTTTTCCCACATGTACTCTGTCCTCTACCAATAATATTGTCTCCAGTATTCTCTTACTCCTGTGTACATTGATTTCTGGCAATTTTTCTGGCCATTTTTCTGGCCAATTTTACCCCTCACCTCTCTATACTCTCACCTATCTTCCCCTGCATTCCCCCCACATTTTTTACCTTTTCCTATGTCTCTGTTCGACTGCTTAACTGACCAATGCTTCACCACATATCACCTGGTTCATCATTCCTCTGTCTCTTGGGGTTTCCCCTACACCACCTCTGATCCTTGGTCACTCACACTTTTTGACATCTGATCTATCCATCTTCACTATCTGTGCTTCATGTCTATTAAACATCCTCCACCAACATCCCTGCTGTCCATCTTCTCTCACCAACATTTCTGTTCTGTCCATCCTCCTCCACCAATATCCCCTGGTCTATCCATCCTCCCTCAACAACATCCCTGGTCTGTCCATCCTCCATCACGAACATCCCTGGCCTGTCCATCCTCAATCACAAACATCCTTGGTCTGTCCATCATCCACCACCAACATCCCTGGTCTTTCCACCCTCCCTCAGCACAATCCCTGGTCTGTCCATCCTCCATCACAAACATCCTTGGTCTGTCCATCATCCACCACCAACATCCCTGGTCTTTCCACCATCCCTCAGCACAATCCCTGGTCTGTCCATCCTCCATCACAAACATCCCTGGTCTGTCCATTTTCCCTCAGGAACATCCCTGGTCTGTCCATCCTCCCTCAGCACAATCCTTCGATTTCTCATCATCCCTCAGCAAAATCCCTGGTCTGTCCATCCTCCCTCAGCAACATCCTTGGTCTGTGTATCCATCCTCTACAATATCCTCTGTTCTGTCCAACCTCCCTCAGCACAATCCCTTGGTCTGTCCATCTTTCCTCAGCAACATCCCCTGGTCTGTATCTTGTCTACTCAACTTATGTAGTGTTCAACTCCTTTAAACTATTCAGTCTCTGTTTCTGCCTTTATCCACTCTGTTTTCTCTGGTTTCTTTTTCCCTTTCAACGCTTTCCCATTGAGCCCTCACAAAGGACCAATAGAAACCCATTCCCACATCTTAAGTATATTCACTCCCCACCAGCGAGGTCAATAGTTATTAAGGCTGTGACCAGCTGCTCCATTAAAGGGTTACTCAAGCTCTATGATCAGTGACATGTGGTGGTCATGGTGGCTTATTTCTGTATGAGCAGTGTTTTTGCTATGAAATACTGCACATACAGAGTTTAACTCCTTCCTCCAGCAGCGTTATTGGGTTGTCATTAGAAAACCCGAAACAAGAGTTCCAGGTGGCCAAATGTCAATTCTGTACATATTTCTATTTATTCACAGAGTTGCAGTCATTAGCTGATAGTGGTCAGCTGATGTTCTCAGCCAATGAATGGCTGGTGTGTTTGGCAACCAGCTTTTGCAGCTCTGCAGTAGCTGGATGCATGTCACAGGCCATAGAAGACTCTTAGCTCCCTGCATGGACACAGGTAAGAGGGAAAACCTTTGCAAAATGGTTTGCTTCTTTATCGGGAAATAGCAACATGCTATTCTTGACATCATAGCCACTACATGTTATTGATTTTTTTGATTGGGTAACTAAAATTATAGGTCAGGGTGGTGCAGTAGACATTGCTTACCTAGATTTCAGTAAGGCTTTTGACACTGTTGCACATAGAAGGCTTATCAATAAACTACAATCTTTAAGTTTGTATTCCAATATTGTTGAATGGGTAATGGGTAGTGGCTGAGTGACAGGCAACAGAGGGTTAATGGAATATATTCGAAGCTTGGACTTGTCACCAGTGGGGTACCTCAGGGATCTGTACTTGGACCCATTCTCTTTAATATTTTTATTAGTGATATTGCAGAAGGTCTTGATGGTAAGGTATGTCTTTTTGCTGATGATACTAAGATATGTAACAGGGTTGATGTTCCAGGAGGGATAAGCCAAATGACAAATGATTTAGGTAAACTAGAAAAATGGTCAGAATTGTGGCAACTGACATTTAATGTGGATAAGTGCAAGATAATGCATCTTGGACGTAAAAACCCAAGGGCAGAGTACAGAATATTTGATAGAGTTCTAACCTCAACATATGAGGAAAGGGATTTAGGGGTGATTATTTCTGATGACTTAAAGGTAGGCAGACAATGTAATAGAGCAGCAGGAAATGCTAGCAGAATGCTTGGTTGTATAGGGAGAGGTATTAGCAGTAGAAAGAGGGAAGTGCTCATGCCATTGTACAGAACACTGGTGAGACCTCACTTGGAGTATTGTACACAGTACTGGAGACCGTATCTTCAGAAGGATATTGATACCTTAGAGAGGGTTCAGAGAAGGGCTACTAAACTGGTTCATGGATTGCGGGATAAAACTTACCAGGAAAGGTTAAAGGATCTTAACATGTATAGCTTGGAGGAAAGACGAGACAGGGGGGATATGATAGAAACATTTAAATACATAAAGGGAATCAACACAGTAAAAGAGGAGACTATATTTAAAAGAAGAAAAACTACCACAACAAGAGGACATAGTCTTAAATTAGAGGGACAAAGGTTTAAAAATAATATCAGGAAGTATTACTTTACTGAGAGGGTAGTGGATGCATGGAATAGCCTTCCAGCTGAAGTGGTAGAGGTTAACACAGTAAAGGAGTTTAAGCATGCATGGAATAGGCATAAGGCTATCCTAACTTTAAGATAAGGCCAGGGACTAATGAAAGTATTTAGAAAATTGGGCAGACTAGATGGGCCGAATGGTTCTTATCTGCAGTCACATTCTATGTTTCTATGTTTCTATGTTACATGCTGCTGTAGTGGTTATGATGCTTGGAGTAACCCTTAAAGCCCTTTTCAAGTCTCCTGACGGATGATGGTGAAAACATTCTAGGTTGGACTAGGGAAAAGTTTTAGTTTATCCTAGGAATATCATAACAAACTCTATAAGAGATCTTCTGCAGCTTATTACTTTTTCAGATAGCATTCTCAACAATCAGAATGTTGGTTTCAGAATGTTTTATTTCACATAATGGGAAGCCTTGAGATTGTTTTGCATATCTTCCTAAAGAGGCAGTCCTGCAGAACCATCCTCCTTATCACCTTCCAAATGGAGCCGACATTGGACGTTCCCTCACACAGACCCACTTTATTTTTACACCATTGTCATTAAGCCCATTTAGACCATATCACAAAACCCCGGGATTTAAGGAGTTAAAGCAGTGCATTCAAGGAAGTATTTATTCTACGTGGAGAACACTTTAACTGGTAAAATGCCTTGTCGTTTCATAAATGGTTTTCTACATGTCCTGGAAAATGATTCAGCAATCTCTGGACTTTAACTAAACCTACTGAAATCAAAGAGTCTCTCAAAAATGTAAATCCACAGTAACTACACCAGAACTGAATATTTTTTTTCAAACACAATCATCTCATTTTAAACTTGAGAAATATATATATTTGAGCCCTGTCTGACTTTAACCATCTCATCTATAACCCCAAGTTGTAAAGCATACCATGCAAAGATTGTGTGACCTCTATCAATATAAACATGTGTCCTTGCTTTATTTTTTCCAGGAGCTCCCGATTTCACTATATAGCCTTGAATTTGATCTTTTTATCTAACAGACTTAATCTTTCAAGTTCACAGTGAATTTTTAATTTCAAATACAAATTGTAAACATCTTCCATTGAAACTGGATTTTGGTGTGGCAATTTTTGCCTAAAATTTTATATTTATTTTGAGTTCATGACAATTCACACTCAAAGGGTTACTCCAATTCTTTTTACATCTTCCAGCGTTCAATGTGTGCTAATGACAGATGTAAAACATACAGGAAATTGACATTAAGCAGCCTGAAACAGAGTTCCATTCTGCCTAAGTCACGCGTGCCGATGGAAATCTAGCCTCTGATACAAAAGTGAAAATTACTCAGTATGTGCAGTGTTTCAAGCTGAAATACTGCACATACATAATCCTACTACCATGTTCACTTCAAATCACTGAAGTGGTCATGGTGGTTGGAGTAACCCTTTAAGCGAATTTCTTTGAGTAACTGGAGACCAGGATCTGCTGGTCAACTTTTTATGTGCAATGTAAGGCTAGTGGTGTTTGTCCTCCACACTTCCTGCTCTGGCAGTTATCCCAACTACAACATATGCTACCCCCAGGCAAAGGTAATGAATAGATCAGAAACTGAACATTTTTGGGTAAAACTATACAGCAGGAACTTGCAGGCCAGCTCACCTCTTATCCTCTTATTCAGAGACTTGTGATGGAAATACCACTCCAGCCCTGAAAAGTTAAACCATCCGAGAACAAACCTATGTGCATGCATCAGTAACAGGTTGATCATTAAAGAAATATTAAAAGCCATGGACTGGACATTAGGACTTTTAAGGGTAAAACCCTGTTGGCACCTGAAGTGTTAACTCTGGTGATCACAGATTGACATGAACAACAAGGACTTAACATTAGGTGGGAAGAAGGCTGTTATGAGTACTATATCTGATGTTGCATGACAGAAAGAGTTCATTGTGTGCCTTTGTTTACGGTTTAAAATGCAATGGTAATGGTTCTCTGACCGAGTAACTGTGGTCAGTGCGGTCAACCATGAATGCACCGTTCTCTGCAGAGCATCTGGGCACAAATGTATAGCACTATCCAGCTGGGAAGCACCAATAATATCGAGAGTACCCTGATGCGTTTCACTCTGACACGTGGTGACCAGAATACTTGTCCTTTACAGCTTTGCTAACTAAGGGCATAATCTATACAGTGGTGTCTTTGTATTTATTAAGCCCCTCTCCACTATGGAGACCACCCCTTTCTTTGATTACCCCTAGTATGCCCCTAGTATACACATAGGAACTTGCTAAACCAGGCTGCCCACTCTCGCCTCTAATTTATCTTGCAGTTACAATCATCTGTTTGATGATTTAAAATAAAAATTTAAATTCTTTAGTTTTTGAGCATAGGCTTTCCTTAGAAATACATTGTTTCCACTTATATTCATTTCCAGACTGTTTTCCTACTGTGAGTACTAAGGTATCTGCCATTATTGCTATGTCTTCTCAAATAACTCCTACATACCTTTCATGAGGTGCCCTATGAACATTTAACTAATTTCACCACATTCACTTCCATCACAGCGCAATTAGCCTTGTACAACCTATACAATGTAAGCACACCTGTTTCGGTACATCTATCCAATATAGTAAGACATCCACACTTCACTATCCTGATTCCTGATCAATCATCATTCACAGGTTTTGCTCAATTATTTCTTAGCAGTGATGAAGGACCTCAGGGCACTTTCTGATTTGAAAATTGTAAGGATACCTATGAACTGGTTTTTACTTTTATTCCATTTGTGTCAACCATAATAAGTAGAAATAGAAGAGAAGTCCAGGCACTCTCAGGATACGAAAAGGCAAATTTATTGAACCCACTGCAAAGTTTCGACCTACATCGTCTTTGTGAAGCCGTGTAGGTCGAAACGTTGCAGTGGGTTCAATAAATGTGCCTTTTTGTATCCTGAGAGTGCCTGGACTTCTCTTCTATTTCTGTGTGATAACAGCTTTTTGATCAAAGGATGAAATCAGAAAACTATTTGGAGTCAAGAATTATTTTTATCCCCAATTTTGTTGCACACTGAAAAATCACTTCAAATTGGTTTTTTTCATCTTCTTTTGGATTAATTTTAGAATAAAATGTAAGACTTGTTAAATGTTTTGTTTTGAACTTGTGCCTTTTAAAAAAAATAATTTTTCATCCCACCTGCCACATTTGCCAAAGTTTGAGAGGGATAGTTTGCAGGTGAAAGTAACAAATGGCAACAGATTGCAGGTCCTTAGAGTAGCTGGGATTAAAGAAAAATCCTCCAAAATGTAAGAAGCAAAGTCATAAAAAAATAACAAACCATAAAATATCTCTTCTAACATAGGCTGGGGATCCAAAGAAGAAACAAATAATGAAAAAAACAGAGGTTGTGGATAACAGAAATATAGGTGAGGCAGAACTAAGCTTAGCATTACCAAGAGCAGGAGCACTGTAAATCGTGTTAGACATTTGTCCTTACACAAGTAAAACACTCAAATAATATAATAAAGACTCGTCAGGGCTTTAGGAATGACAAAAAGTCTTTAAACATGCTGTGTTCCTGATTTATATACTCTGAGGATGTAACCCTGACCACCTATAAACCATGGCAGTTTAAGAGCACACGAGGTTGCCATCATAACACTTGAGGCACTTTACAAACCCAGTGGACCAGACATTACTCTATCCATCAGAAAAAAATAATCAAAAAAGGTATATACATTTCCTATCTTTTTACATATGTGTTTTAATTACATGGTGGTATATAGATCACAGTTAATTTATGCTTCTCTTGTAAGTGCGCTGTCCACCAGGAGGTGTGTTTTTTTCTGATATTTAAAGTGTGAAGTTTAGTGATTGATTTCCCAGTGGATTTTTAGCTGCACTCATTTAACACTTTTTAATTAAGTGCCAGTATACCACACTTTTGTGTTATTTTCAGTATTACTCTATGCTGGAAATAAATAGGGGCAGTCTGAACCATGTGGTTCCATGATATACCACATAGTTTTATCGGGCCCATGCAGGCCACAAGTCATGGCTGGGCTACTTAGCAGAACACTGGCTGTACCATTCTGATGTTGGTCCTGGGAGTGAGCTGAGCAGCATGGTACATTTAAGCAAATACTTGGATGCTCTTGGGTTCAGTATTCATGACACACTGCCATACAGATGTGGCCAGTGCCACAGCACTTTCAGATTATAACTTCAGATGACTTATCCTCAAGTTTCACTCTGTCAACGTCAGGTATCCCATTGGGGCTGAAAACAACCTTCAGGTAAAATTTGGAGTTTTGAATATAGAGTAAGTCTTTCTGGTTCTGCAATCCCAATGCTCCTTTTTAACTTTCCGTAATGATGTATTTCATGATCTACGAGATGTTTTATTGCATTTTCAAATATTAACACTTCAAAGCACTATGATCAAGAGGTTAGAAATACATGCATTATTTACAGGGATATTCTAAGCACCAAATAAACTTCAGCTTAAAGCAGATCTGTCAACAGCTCGATTCCTTAGCTATCATGAAGCCCCCTAACCATTCTAGACCCTGGGAACAGACTCACCATTGTATATGGTTTTCTGGTCCATCAGGGCCAACCAAGAAGAAGCCACCATCTTAAAGTTGTAAGATGTTGGCTCCATAAAATATTGTTATCTGCCCAAAGATAGGTGTGTGCATCAAATCGAGCACTTGTTCAGTTCACCAATAACACATTGAGAATCAGTGACCCGCTGCTTTAGGAAGTGATGTGGCATAGAAAGGAGGTGAGTATGGAATCTGATGGCCAATGAAAACATTGTCAAAGGCCATGGAGCTCAAAGGGATACTATAGTCACCAGAACAACTACAGCTTAATGTAGTTGTTCTGGTGAGTATAGTCAGTCTTTGCAGGCTTTTTAATGTAAGCACTGCCTTTTCAAAGATGCTTCCTTGGGCAGTGCTATACAGTGTGCAGCACTGACATTCAGTACCTCCACCCTCTGCATGGAGACACTGAACTTTCCTTATTGAGATGCATTTATAGAGATGCTAACCGCCTAAATGGTGGTTTTACCACTATAGGATCAAGAACACATGTTTGTGTTTCTGACCCTATAGTGTTTCTTTAATTAAAGCAACACCCTAAATTAACCCAAAGTTAGAAACAAACATACATATCTGCTTTAATGAAACTGTTTAGGGCAGTGGCGTACATACCAGGGTCGCAGGGGTCGCGGCTGCGACCGGGCCCGGCCCACCAGGGGGCCCGGCCACCCCTGCGACCCGGTATGTACCCACAGGGCCAGCCTCTTCCACTGGGGGGCCCAGGAGCCGGCCACCCCAGGGCCCCCCGAGGCTGGCCCTGCTGTCACACACACACTCCTGGGCGGGTGGCCGGTCGGGCAGGCAGGCGGGTGGCCGGTCGGGCAGGCAGGCAGGCGGGCAGGCGCGCGAGGGAGCACTCAGTGCTTCCTCTTCAGCTCCCTCGCGCACCGCACTGATTCCGGAGCCGGAAGATGACGTCATCTTCCGGCGCCGGCATCCCTACGCGGCACGCGAGGGAGCTGAAGAGGAAGCACTGAGTGCTCCCTCGCGCGCCTGCCTGCCTGCCTGCCCGACCGGCCACCCGCCCAGGAGCCCAGCAGCACCACTGGACCCCAGGGAATCCCCCCAGCACTCCAAAAGGTAAGGAGGCTGGGGGGATTACATTTAAAAAACAAACAAAAACGTGTTAGTGTTTGAGTGTGTGTGAGTGTTAGAGTGAGTGTTAGAGTGAGTGTGAGTGTTAGAGTGAGTGTTAGAGTGAGTGTTAGTGTGAGTGTTAGAGTGAGTGTTAGTGTGAGTGTGAGTGTTAGAGTGAGTGTTAGTGTTAGAGTGAGTGTTAGAGTGAGAGTGAGTGTTAGAGTGAGTGTTAGTGTTAGTGTTAGAGTGAGTGTTAGAGTGAGTGTTAGAGTGAGAGTGAGTGTTAGAGTGAGAGTGAGTGTTAGAGTGAGTGTTAGTGTGAGTGTTAGTGTGAGTGTTAGTGTGTTAGTGTTAGAGTGAGTGTTAGAGTGAGAGTGAGTGTTAGAGTGAGTGTTAGAGTGAGTGTTAGAGTGAGAGTGAGTGTTAGAGTGAGTGTTAGAGTGAGTGTTAGTGTGTGTGTCTTAGTGAGTCTGTTTGATGTCTGTTAGTGAGTGTGTGTTTGTCAATGAGAGTGTATGTTTTGTAAGTGAGTGTGTGTGTGTATGTATGTCTGTCGCTGAGTGTGTCTCTGTTAGCTAGTGTGTATGCGTCTGTAAGTGAGAGTGTGTGTCTTCAGCACTTACCTTTCTCCAGCGCCGGACTCCCTTGGCGCTGGGGATCCCTCAGCCTCTCAGCTCCGAATGAGACCGCGCACGCATTCAAACCGCCCATAGGAAAGCATTACTCAATGCTTTCCTATGGACGTTCAGTGTGCTCCTCTAGCGGCTGTCAGTGAGACAGCCACTTGAGGCTGGATTAACCCTCAGTGAAACATAGCAGTTTCTCTGAAACTGCTATGTTTTCAGCTGCAGGGTTAAAACTAGAGGGACCTGACACCCAGACAACTTCATTGAGCTGATGAGATCTGGGTGTCTGTAGTGGTCCTTTAAAGGACCACTATAGTGCCAGGAAAACATACTCGTTTTCCTGGCACTATAGTGCCCTGAGGGTGCCCCCACCCTCAGGGACCCCCTCCCGCCCGGCTCTGGAAAGGGGAAAAGGGGTAAAACACCTTTTTCCAGCGCTGGTGGAGAGCTCTCCTCCTCCGATCCTCCTCTTCTCCTCCCGTCGGCTGTATGTACGCACGGCAAGAGCTGCTGCGCATTCAACAGATCACATGAAAGCATTCATAATGCTTTCTATGGACGCTGCGTGCTCTGACTGTGAAAATCACAGTGAGAAGCACGCAAGCGCCTCTAGTGGCTGTCAATGAGACAGCCACTAGAGGAATAGAAGGCTTAACCCATTCATAAACATAGCAGTTTCTCTGAAACTGCTATGTTTATGAAAAAATGGGTTACCCTAGCTGGACCTGGCACCCAGACCACTTCATTAAGCTGAAGTGGTCTGGGTGCCTAGAGTGGTCCTTTAAGTGTGTGTGCATCTGCATGCACTGGTGTACATACCGCGGTCGCAGGGGTCGCAGCCCTGTAACCCCTGCGACCAGGTGCCCACCGCCATGTGTTGCGGCCCGGCCCGCGCGCCGGGGGGGACCCATGGATCAATTTTCGCACCAGGGCCTCATGGGTCATGTGTACGCCACTGGTTTAGGGGTAAAGTTGATGTACCTGCTGTTTTGCTGCTAAATTCTTTGAACATCACTTTGAATTGTTTTTTTGGTAAACAACCCTGTTAATGTAGATAGCGTTCACTTGTGCAGTAAACGGCCACACACTGTATATAACCGAGGGAAGAAGCTTGTAAAGCACCAGAAGCACAATTAATTCTAAATCAGTGAGTTCAAGTTGGTGTAAGTCGCACTGCAGTAACAGCTAGGCATTTTTTTAAATTCACCAGATGATGACTGGAGTGCTAACTACTTCTGTCAACTACTGGTACTATCCTCACCATCCCCCTGCTCTGTCTGAGGGTGGTGGTAGTAGTAGCAGAGGAAATAGTACTGCCAGTCGATCAGTGGATGTGCTGCATGCAGTAGTATTTTATTGTTCAGCTTCTTCCCCCAGTAATGCAAACTCAAGGTGTCTTTGCAGATGTTGCTTATACCGGCACTGAAACCCTTCACTCGGCCCCTACTCCCATTCTTGCCGCACAATTTACATTTTGCAAGTCAGCCTTCTTGGATGCATTCAGAGTGATCTCAAAGTTTGCTTCATTGGTGCAATACAGTAACCTATAATCCAAGCCCAGGCTGGCCATTGGGCATACCGTGCAAATGCCTGGTGGGCCGAGGCCGGCAGGGGAGATCACAGGACCTCCCCTGTTGGCCCATGCAGAGCTGGCACTATCCGAGTGCCGGCCCTGCTGTGTGCCTTCATGGGCCGGTGGGAAGATCAAAGATCTCCCACACCGGCCGACAGGCACTGATATGCCGCTGGAGGGAGGCAGGAGAGGACCCGGGGAGCTCGAGCCAGCAGCTCTGCCGGGTTCCTCTCGCGAGGTTGGAGCATTGCTGCGGTTACATTCTTGGACAGAAATAAAAACATTATAGAGCAATGCAACACCTCAAGACTTTTTACCTACAAAGATCTCCTTCCTACAATCAACTGATATCTCTGACGGAAGAAGTCCGCCTGGAACTGGATTGGTGGCTCCACAATATGGAGGAGTGGAATGGGAAGGCAATTTTCTGCTCCCTACCGTACTTCATATTGGAATATGATGCCAGTCTCTGTGGTTGGGGTGCAACTTGCTCGGATCTCTCCACTGGAGGGCTTTGGACACCCTCAGAACAGGCCTTGCACATAAACTGCCTCTAATTAATTGCCGGCCCCTTTGCAGTCCGCAGCTTTGCAAAGGATACATACAATTGTTCTCTGACTCTCGGATGGACAATGTCTCCGCGGTCTGTTACGTCAACCGATTGGGAGGTTCCCATTCCAAACTCCTTTTGGATCCGACGAAGGAACTCTACTAGTTTTGCCTGGCCAGTAACATCTCCCCGCAAGCAGAATATCTCTCGGGTCCTGGGCTCCCAGTACTCGACGTTCCTATCTGTCCGTTTGGCAGATCTGGACTATCTGGTGTGTGGAAAGGGATATTGATCCCTTATCATCCCCTGTAGTTTACGTCATGAATTTCTTATCCTCACTCTTTGACCACGGTAAGGCCTATCGAACTATCAATCTCTTTCACTCCGCTATTTCGCAGCTCACATCCCTGTTGAAAATTTCTCCGTGGGCAGACACCCCTCAGTCTGCAGACTTTTGCGTGGTATTTAATTTGCCCTACCTCCTGCACCTAGATTTTCCCAATTTTGTGATGTGTCATTGTTTTTTTCATTTTTGTAAACGTGGCCTCCCAACTTGGAGCTAACTATAAGGGAACTTTCTGCTAAACTTGCCCTACTCCTCTGCTTGGTTTCCTTCCGGAGAGTAGAACGGTTCTGGTGTACCTAATGTACCACACAGGAGAGAGGGAGACAGACTAGCACTAAGCTGCTCGAAAACTGGTAATGATAGGGATTCACTAAAAACCTATATAGAACAAGGGAAAAGAACTCTCTAGAAGAGTGGGAATACCAGGAGCTGGCTAGGTGACTAATGGCTAAAATACTACTACATAGAGAATAAAAATATAAAAATATATATATGGTACTATGCCTTTAAATCTGGAATGGACAAAGTATCCCTATAAATGTGCAAAAATGTGAATAAAGGTGCTATGAGTGGAGATCTCAAATAAACGGGATATCCCTTTAAATATGCAAAAATACAAAGAGAATGCTGCTATACCTTTAAATGTCCTTTAAGAATGTGCAAACATGCAAAGCAGTGCTATATAGGGGGGGTGATAAAAAAAAACAAAAAAAAAAAACCTTATATATATATAAAAATAAATACAAAAATACAAAAAGGGGAAAGATGAGAGACCAAATTCTCTGCTGGATGACCAAAAAATATGTATGAAACTGGTGTCTATATCCCTAACAACATGAGGGATACATGATACCTGTTGCAAATAATATACTTAGTAAAAGACAGAAGTAAAAAATAAGCTATACAGTACAAGGAACTGTTAGCTTTAGGCAATAAAAATGAAAACAATATATCGCTGGAAAACTGAAGCATAAAACTGGATCACTTCATATAAGAAAAAAAATGCCAGTTTATTGAATATATTAAAATAACTTTGGAAAAAGTTAAATATAAAAATACAGGTCACACTAGATTCAGAAATGCATTACCAGACTGATGCATTGAGAAATAACAGCAAGGACCTTCGGATTGTTAAGGATGGATACGGATTGTGATGATTCAATATACAGCTGCCGGTGAGGATGGCTTGTGTCTGTGAGCACGTCCCTTCCGGAGAGTGTCTGATGTCAAAGCCTTTGATGTCCATGCTCTTGTTTTCACACCCGAGGGTGTTATTTTTACCATCTCCTGTAGGACCAAGACCCTTTCATAGACCCTCTCTATGTGTGGCACATTGTTTACACCACTATGTAACTCTGACTAGCCCACTTGCGCCCCCTTTGAGAACCCATCTTGATTTCCTATGTCCCTCCACACCACCGGTCTCGAGTCATACTATTGCTCGTTGGATTAGATACTTTCCGGTATTGATAGTTCCTTTGGTGCACATTCTGTGCGCGGTACGGTGGCTTTCTCTGCATTTCTTGCAAGAGGCGCCCTTTCGGATATTTTGGCCTCAGCAGATTGGTCTAGGGAAGCTACCTTTCGTACCTTCTATTTTTGTCCTGGTTCTCATACCCTTTTTCCTTTTTTTTGCTTTCTGGGCATTAAAAAAGCAAATATGAAGCCTCCTGTGTTGCTATAAAATTAGGGATTATTCAAGTGTTTAATGGCCGAATAATCTAAATTTTATTAAAGGCAGGAGGTGAATATTTTCCCACACTTCTTGTCCCTCCCTACTATCTGGGGTTGACAACTCCGCTTTATCTTCTGTTGGACTTTTATTGATTTTCTCACGTATTTTATTCTGATGATACGTTATCTCCTGTGGTTCTGATCTCACTCTCCAGATTGTGTCTGACATTTATAGTGCTTATTTTTGCTTGAATTTTGCTTGTCTAACATGATTGCCATGATTATTAGACACCATTCTTTCATAATATTTCTTCTTAATTTCAGTCTGAAGATTCTATATTGTCCCTCTGAAGGAATACCCCTTCATCGTTCGCTGCTATTAACTTCCCTCAGTTATTTGTTTCTTTTTCATGGCCATTCGTTAACTTGTTCGTTTTACCGAACGGAGACCACCCTGGGACTAATTAGAACATGGAACACTGTGTAGCAATACGAAAACCGTAGACTAATTGAATGCTACTAGGTGGCCATCTTGTCTCCCGAAACGTGGCCAGCGGGACTTGGTCGCCAGTGCCTGGAACTGTTTTCGGCAATGCACTAGCATGAACCCCGGTTTAGGTGGAACTCCCCTACGTTCTATTTCCCAGCACTTTAGACGAACGGCGTTCGGGAGTTTGAAACAGACGAACGCAAGGAGCATTCTGCACGAACCATCTCTATTTTACTTATTGCGGTTTTCGTATGAATCTCCACGAATGGAGACCGACTCTTGATACAAAACCTCTGGAACTGTTTCTCGAATTCACCCTCTTGGCAGACCGGTCAACTTTCTCCACAGTGCCGTTCAGAAACTACCCAACGGATTTGGCTGAAATTTTGATATGTTTCTCCCACATAGATCAGCTACCCAGGGATATGACTTTTGTGGTATTTCTGAAAATCTTGAAATTGTTAACTTTTTCTGACCAGCAGATATTTGAGTTTAGTATCAAAACTCAATTATCTCGCTGGCCCAGAGGAGGATTTATGTACTGTATAAATTGAATGCCTGTTTTCCCATTAAACCAGTCTTGTCCCAGCATTAAGCTTTGGCTCATGTGTGGGTTATTGGAACCTTTGGATTATTGCCGTTATTATATTATGGAATAAGGGAATGCAAGACGGTGATAGCTATTCAGACCGTCACAGTTCCTTTGTAGGTCTTCCAGCTCCAGCTGAGCTTATTATTTCTGGGTTTACATGGTTGACTTCATTTGTGCGGCTTCATCTTCGAAAGAGGAAGTGGGAGGAGCTTCACCATCAGTTATTATATGATATCTATACTGTGATTGTTTGATTTTTGCTTTTACATTGTTAACCATTTCTTTGCTGCTGGGAAGTTTGAGTAAAGAAAGTAAAGCAAATATTCGCCTCCTGTCTTTAATAAAATTACGATTATTCGGTCATTAAACACTAGAATAATCCCTAGTTATTTTTCAGATTCATCACCACCAGACTTTGAGAATACTACTTTAGTACTCCATTGTAAGTTCTCATTAAAGAGTGGCTCTGATGACATCACAAATTAGATTCTGCTGCAGTCTCTCTTTTTGGGGGCACCAAGAAAGTGTGATGCTTGAACTAGCTGAAGTTATAGGAGCTGTAGTGTCAGAAGAAGCAGCAGCATAAGCAATTGTAGCATGGAAAGTATTGGATAAAACCCAGCATACCGGGTGTTTAATCAGAATTAAAATACATACTGCTAATCTGAGACTGAATACTACTAATAGTGGTACCGGTGAGGCAGAGCATGCTGACGGAGGTGTCAGCAGTCCTCATGGCCAAGGTGTTCTAACTATCAGAAGCCATGGAACCACTGCTTATGGTGTATAAGTGAACAGGACCCCTGTCCCCCACCCTTAACTCAATTTTGGCTTGGGCTTAGGTCATTTACATTGATGATGGTGGGTTTCTTTTTCTTGTTACAGAATGATGAACTTTATTCTGAAAAAATAGGTGACTTTGTTGCAAAATTGCTCAGTGATAAGGTGCTGTAAAGTTATTGTGTTTGACATTAAGAAACAGTGCTCAAATTGTGCCCACAACAACTGTGCGCTGGTAAAATAAACTCACACGAGAATGAATGACCAAATGGCTGCCAATCCCAGAACCTACCTGCTATCTCCCTCTCAAAGTTTTCTATAGTGCTTCTGGAAGTAATAGCTTCTAAATATAGAATTAAAAAGCTAAAGCTAGTCTCACACTAGAATCAATGAGCCATGATAAGCAAAAGGAACTGTTTTTTTTTTCCGTGATACCACAGTCTCCCAAAATATTCTCTTTTCTTTCTAAACAGTTAACAAGGGGGAGTGTTTATGCCTGAGCCACTGTGATTGGCTAATGTCCCAGTCTTCCTTCTGGTCCCCTAGAGACACACCGAGGGGCTGGGGGTGAAAGAGACACACACAAAGGAGCTGGGAAGAGCAAAATACACAAAGGGGTTGGGAGAGTAGGAGTCACACAAAGGGGTTGGGAGCAGTAAGACACACAAAATGTGGGAGGATGTAGGATGTAAGAGTGATACAAAGAGGGTGGATAAGAGCCACACAAAGGGGGTTGTAAGAGATACACAAGAGAGTTGTAAGACACACAATGGGGAACAAATAGGAGATAAGATACACTAGGGGAGGTTAAGAAACACACAGGTGAAGATGTCATTTTTTGGGGGAGGGTGTAGGGGGGAGGAAAACTGCAATGTGTGTGAGGGGTGTAATGTGTGTGAAGGGTTGCAAAATGTACGTCAGGGGTGTAGTGTGTGTGTGAGGTGTGCAATGTGTGTATGTGTGGAATGCAGTATGTGGTGGAGTGCTGTGTGTGATAGGGTGCTGTGTCTATGTGGTGGATGCAGTGTGTGTGTGAGGGATGCAGTGTGTGTAGTGAATGTGGTTTGTTTGTAAGAACCCAGAGTGTGTGTAGGACATCTAGTGTGTGTAGATGATCCAGAGTTGTATATGGGATCCCCTACATTCATCCCTGTGGAACGTAATGTGTGTAGGGGTGCAGTGTGTGTGTGAAGGCTGCATTGTGTGTGAGTGGCTGCAATGTGAGTGTGAGGGGTGTAATGGGTGTGAGGAGTGCAGTGTCTGTGTCAGAGGTGCAATGTGTGTATGAGGGTGCAGTGTGTGTGAGAGGTATATTGTGTTTGTGATTGTTTGCAATGTGTGTGTGAGGGGTATAATGTGTCTAAGAGGTTGCAATATGTGCGTGAGGGGTGTAGTGTATGTGTGAAGAGTGCTGTGTGTGTGAGGGGTGCAGTGTGTGTGTGTGTGTGTGTGTGTGTGAGGTGTGCGTATGCAAGGGGTGTATGCAAGGGGTGTAGTGTGTGTGTGTGTGAGGGGTGCAGTGTGAGTGAATGGTGCAGTGTGTGTGAGATGGGTGTGTTTGAGGGCTCCAGTTTGTGTGTTAAAGGAGTGCTGTATGTGTGAGGAATGCAGTGTGTGATAGGGTGCTGTGTCAATGTGAGGGATGCAGTATGTGTGAGGGATGCAGTGTGTGTAAGGGATGCTGTGTGGGTGATGGGTGCAGTGTGTGTGTGAGGTGTGCAGTGTGTGTGTGTTTATGAGGGGTGCTGTGTGAGGGATGCAGTGTGTATGTGTGTGAGGGGTGCTGCGTGTCTGTGTGGTGGGTGCTGCGTGTGTGTGTGGTGAGTGCAGTGTGTGAATATGTTTGGAAGTATTGTGTGCATGGTGAAGGCAGACTCATGCAAATATATTCAATATGTATTTGAATTCTTTATTCAAAAAATTAAGCGTTTTATCTCCCCTCCCCTTTACCTTTGTCTAGGGAGGGAAACACTGCTTATGAAGCCTTGCTGATCCTAGTAGGGAGTAAAATCTAGCCTGCAGCTCCTGAGGCTAAAGTTCACTCTCATGAGATCGGACGTTGCCATGGTAACCGCAGAAACGCTATGACCTCGCGAGAGGAAGGACCTGGCAGAGCTGCAACCTAAAGCTCCCGGGTCCTCCTCTCCCTTGCTCCCTGGCTGCTACATTCGACTGCCTGTTGGCCAGCGAGGGAGATATTTGATCTCCCCACCAGTCCAAATGGCATAGATCAGGGCATTATCTTACTTTCATTCACATCTTTTATGCCTGTCTCAAGTATTTCTGTATTCTCCCTGTCTATCTTGTCTGATCAGCTGTCCGTTCTATTATTTGTCGGGCCTCTTTAAAATTTTGTATATGCTAATCAATTTGTCTCTCTGTTTACTATGTATATTATGTTTTTGTTTTTTTTGTCTTGTTCTCTATATTAGCGTGTGTGCACCTGCATATCTGGCTGTCTATATATATTTCTATTTCTCTGTCTATCCTGTCTTACATTTCTCTTTCTCTCTCTAAGAATTATAACTACCATTCTATTAAGGCATGTGTCTTTCATCATATCTATCTATTTATCTATCTATCTATCTATTTATCTAATCTATCTGTCATTTTTGCGTCTGTCCCCCTATTTACCTGTCATTTCTGTGTGTCTACAATTTCATTCATTTTATTGTTATCCTCATTGATATAGTTATGCTTATCCGATTCTCTAGAATGTGTACCAACATGAAGTGATTAGAACTGGGTTAGTTGAGGCTAAAATGGGTGGGAGAAAGATGTAAGAAACAGAATGATGCAGAGCTTGTTAGGATGTTAAGTAAGGGCCGATAGATGGACAGTTGCACAGGGCCACAATAACATTAAAGATAACCCCATTTGCGCTTTTTAAAATAGATACAGGTAATCAGTACTAACTGATGGTACAAGCATAAATAGCAATAATTAACACGGAAACCATTGATTAACTTGCATTTTAATTTGCAGGTGCTGCAAATCTCACTAAGGAACAAATAACACAGTCAGAATTATCTTCAGCATTACCAGGTAAAAGTATTATGGACGAACACGTTCCTTCTTCCTGTTTAATGACTGTTGTTGTGCCCTAACCAGTAGAACATCATGGTTCACCATTGGGAATTTTTTATTTCTCTTCTGTATTGTATCAGCGGACATCAGAGGCTTGTGAAACCAACAAAATGTCTCTAGTCTCTATGCAAGAGAGATTCTGCAGTGATCTGGTTATATGCAGGACTGGTTGCCCGCCAAGGCTAAGCTTGACACTAACACATCCCACTTACATGTTTTCCAACATGGAGAGTTACATATCCCCCTCTAACACAAACATATTAAGATCATTATTCATGTTACACACTGAAGCCCTGAAGAGTGTGTTTTTCAAATTGTTATACATTTGTAATACAAAACTGTATTACTAACACTACAGTGTCTCTCTGTGTCCGTACCCCCCCCCCATTCCCCTGGTTTTCCCAAAGCCATATAAGGGTAAAAACCCGCAAAACACTTACCTGTTTGCAGCTCTGAGGTCCCTGGATCGGTCTCCTCCTCCTCCGACGTTAATGTGATCTGGGAACCTAATGCGCACCTGCTGCAAGTGCCGTATAAGCATTAGGCCTTCCTCACAGGAATGCATTCACTCAATGCTTTCCTATGGAGTTTTACGAAATGCTGAATATCCTCATGCACAGTTTCATTTCACAGAAGACAGCCACTAGAGGTAGTCTTAGCATTGTAATGTAGACATTATATGCAATGTTTTCACTTGCAGGTTTAAGGGGACAGGAACACTGCACCCAGACCACTTCAATGAGATAAAGTCTGGTTGCCACTGTCACATGTGCAGAGACCAACACTCTAAGTATGGTCCTGCACATTAGGATGCACTAAATGTTCTCCCCTTTTTTTTTTTTCCTTTCCTCCTGTATATTCTTTCCTAGTACTATTGGGGGAGAGAACCTAATATACCTGTTTCTATATCTAGTACCAGAGGCAGCCACGATCAGTCCGTTGAATATATCTGTCTGGATGGCAATGTTGCTATCTTTACTGTTCATTTACAAGGACTGGATATTTTGTTTCTGTTGGGGATCCACGCAATGAATATAATCCCAGATACAGTTACATTAATGGCTAGCCTGTTGCATAGTATATAACAGGTTACTCTCACCCCCCCCCCCTTTAGTCACAGGTTTAACACAGCACTATCTGATAATGAGGCAGCAGCACTACATTTAATCTTTGTTGTAAGCCTGCCATTTATCTGACATTTTGATACAAATGCTGTGTTAACATTAGAATAGATGTCCATGATATTTGTATATATATTTTTCTCCATATTATTCAGACATTGACATTGATTATCATATTAAAGTCAGAAGTCTGATTAGACACTAACTAACATAGACATTAGGGAGGTACAGCTATTGATAGCTGTGGAGATCTATATATTGATTATATATAGATATATATACTTTTTGGTTTCTCTTTTGGTATATTTACAAACATTTTTTGTTTTTTATCTTTATATTTTGATATTATTCATTTCAATTTAATTTCCAGTCATTATCTACTTTTCTGGAGTATTTTTCTTCAGATTTGTGGAATTTTTTTCAATATTTAGGTGTGTGTATGTGCCAGTGTGTGTGTATCTGTGTGTCAGTGTTTATCTGAGTGTTTGTATATGTGTCAGTGTGTATCTGTATGTCAGCATGTGTATCTGAGTGTATGTGTCAGCGTGTGTATCTGAGTGTGTGTGTGTGTGTCAGTGTGTGTATCTGTGTATATGTCAGTGTGTATCTGTATGTCAATGTGCATATCTGATTGTATGTGCCAATGTGTGTATTTGCTTGTATGTCAGTGTTTGTATCTATGTGCTAGTGTGTATTTGAGTGTGTGTATGTGCCAGTGTGTGTATCTGGGTGTGTGTATCTGTGTGTGAGTGTGTATCTGAGTTTATGTGTGTATGTGCCAGTGGGTGTGTATGTGTGTATGTGCCAGTGTGTGTACCTGTGTGTATGTATCAGTGTGTCTATCTGTGTGGCAAGGTGCTCACACATGTGTGGTGGCTGTGTGTGTATAGGGAGGAGATGCAGTAGCTGGTGATGCCACCTCCCTGAAATGCATTTTTGCATGTTGGGATGTCTGCATACACTCAGACAGATTGCCAGATGCCCATATATATAGATGTATCTTTGTGCAAGATCATCTTAAAGGCATTATTTAACAGAATGACTATAATTTGCAATGAATTATTTAACAACAAGGCTAACAGAGAAACACTATGTACGTAGTGGGCACTGGATAAGATAAGCATCCCCCTGACCAACCAGTAAATCCCTAATAAAGACAGACAACAACGATGGATGAAACAGGCCACAGCATTTATTTAAAACAAATAAATACTGCATAACACATCTATCTTTAATTATAAATCAATAAATATAAGAAACTGATCAATAAATTAACACATAAATAACACAAAGTGTCATACAGTATTTTTAATTTTAATCAAATGTCCTTCCCAATATAACTCACATCCCCAAATGCTCTCAAAATTCCCTTTTAACCTTTAATTCTCACCACCAGCTGGCTTTTAGCTTAGTGGGACACGTCCATAATGCTTTCCATCAGCTGGATTTTAGCTTAGTGGGGCATGTCCAACTTGGTAACCTTGCAGTTTACCCTAGGAGACAGGGGAGGTTGAGACCCGACCATTATCCACCGTTTTAGTCTGCCTGTAAATTGTCTCCCAACTTGATTGGCAACTACATGCCCCCCGCCAGCTGTGATGACAAACCAGGATCCAGAAAGAAGGGAGGATGGGCAGGAAACTGTTGCTGGCCTGGATCCCAAGTGGCACTGAGATAAGCTAACAAGTTGCCACCCATTTCTAGCATACAAACACTCCCACACAAACATAACAACCAATCACATCTCATCCATCCCCACACTCATACATGTGCCCTTGTCTGCTAAGCTGAGCTATCTCCCTTGGGCCTCTTCAGTAACACTAATACAATGACAAGAACATTCTGATCCAAGGAATTTGACTCTTTGCTAATGTGGCCCCTTCCCTATAAATACAATCCTAATAACAATGATATGAGAGAGCACTCACTTTTACTTTTCTTCAGGGTGCAATGACTTCGACTCTGCCTTCCTGGATAAGTATCAAAGAATAAACAAAAAAAATGTCCAGCACTCCTTATTATGAAACGATGATATCCCTTTATTGGCAAAACAGCAACATTTCGATTGTGTGTCTCTATCAAGCAATTGCTGCTTTGCCACTGAAGGCATATCATCTTTTCACAATAAAGAGTGCTGGACATCTTTTTTGTTTATAAATAAAGTCTCCCATGATTCCATCCTGGTTTCTAACATAATTAAACTGTTTAGTTATACAAATAGAGACAGGGTTATTTGCTAAAGTAACTGTCATGAGTTCAAAGTAAATTTCAAATATAAAGTCAAAATAGCTAGACTGAACAAAACATTTCATAGTTAGCTATACTTCCAGTTTAGTTCATTTGGCCCTACGTTTGAATGTAACGTTGACAGATAGACATGATAACCTCTGACATAGTTCTCCTATATCTTTCTGTGCAGAGGAATATGTGATGGAAGAAATCAATGAATGTGACCCTGTCTCAATACAACATTCATTGGAAAGACACGAGCCTGACAGTGGTAATGAACTTTCCAGCTCTAGCTTGGACAGTCACGATTCCGCTACGACATCCACCGATCAGCCAGTTGGTGATATTCAGTCTAAGGAAGATGACATTCCCAACAATGAAGATGACAATGAAGAAAGCATTCCTCGTCCTACTGTGCTTGAATTGTCAGAGACCCCCAACACACTCAGTGAGGAACAAGTAACAACCTCACCCCAAAATACTGTGCAAGAGGTAAAAGAAAATGGAATACAAAGCTGTCCTGAATCTTCGCAGCCTAACGAGGAAAGAAAAGCATTGGAGGTGGAATTAGTTAAATGCATAGAGGAATTTCAAAGGATTAGAATCCCAGTAGTGTTTCCAAACAAAAAGAGAAATTGGCAGAACGAGCTGCTCCGAAAGTATCAACTTTGAGTTAACATGGGTGTCTGTGATTAAGGGACAACATTGCAATACTAGAAGTACTCGATGTCTTAGATAAGAATATAACACAAGGATTATGCACAAACAATGTTTTTCAAATGAAGAAAAATTACCTTGTGATGGTAACCAACATTTTACTGACTTACGAATGGTCTTAACGCTAAGAAAATTGCAAACATAAAGAATGCACCAATAAGTAACAATGGCCTTGACTTAATATTTTTGAATAAGCTTTGGATAAAAAAAAAATAAATATATATATATATATATATATCCTATTCTGATGAAAGTCCTATGATGGACTGAAATGTCGATTTGCTGTAACCCGTGTGTTATTAATAAAGACGAATACATTTCTTCAAAAAGCCCAGCGTGTGCCTTTCTTGGTGGAGATTCATGTTGATTTGGCTAAAAGAGTACCGTGGCACTTATACTACAAATGTGAGTGCAGGATCATGGATTATATATATATATAAATTATATATCATGAATAAATAAAAATATCATATATAAAACCGATTTCAATATATCAAAAAATATCAAAATCTGAATATATATATATATACTTTAAATTATTAAATCATTTGAAAATGTTATCCAAAAGTATTAAATCGAGGCCAAAGTCAGTTAACACACAAAGAGAATAATGCAGATTACTGACATTCTAAAAAAACCTGGAATGTGGGGCAAAAATAATCATGTGTCTGTTTAAAATAACATTGTACACACATATATTAAATAACAAGTGAACAGACATGTAAAAAAACAACATAAAATGTATTTGAATAAAAACAAACAGTAAAAAATAGCTGCCTACAAGCTATTTTTGTCTTGATATATTTCAAATAGCTTTGAAGATATTGTTTTCCCTTTTTAAAAGTGTGCGTTGTTTCAAGAGTTCTGAGCTGTAAACAGTGAAATATTAATTTTTAAACCAGCTATCTATCTATATTTCATAGCAACTTATTCGTGTAGAAAACCAGTTAGTTCTCCCAGGCGTACTGACCTGGATTCCACTACAGATATCCTGTACATATAAGACAGCCATACAACTCAGCTATATTGTTCTTTGTTTTGAATGGATATTTTAGCACTCACAGTCTTTTTAAGCCCTTGCAAAATTAGCTTTACTCACATGTTCTAGATTATGTGTGCCCAAAAGGTAGATGCACAGCTGTTGTAGTTCTACAACTCCCATGATGCTTTGCATATCCCTTACAGTGACAAAGCATCATGGAAGCTGTAGTTATTATTATTATTATTATTGGTATTGGTATTTATATAGCACCAACTTACTCCGCAGCGCATTACAATATTAACACCTTAAGACCGGAGGGTGTACTATTACGCCCTATTTTAGACGGCTCTAAACGCTGCCGGGCGTAATAGTACGCCCTCCGGTCTTTCCTTACTTACCCCGCAGGCGATCGCCGTGGGGGGGACTCCCAGGGAGCCCCCCCACGGCAGATCCTCCTCCTCCGGTGCCCCCCGGCCATGTGAGAGTGAGGTCCTTGCGGGGACCTCACAATCACATGGCCGGGATAGCTGCCTCCTGCATTGCCAGCAGGGGGGCTGCCTGTAATGACAGGTAGTCCCCCTGCTGGCTGGAAATAAAAATAAATAAAGTTAATCAGTGTAAAAAAATAATAATATATACTTAGATCATATATATATGTTACATATATATATATGATCTAAGTATATATATACACATATACATACACACACGTACACTGTCTAGGGGTATTTTACTATTAATATATATATAATTATATATATATATATATATTAATATCAAATTACACGTAGACTGATACTGATTAAATATATATATAACTATTGTTATATATATATTTATATATAATATAAAAAAATTAAATATTTAAATACGTTAAAAAATAAAATTAAAAAATAATTACAAAATATATAGATGTGTGTTATTTCGTTCTAACTGTATTGTGATATTAATATATATATATTTATATCAAAATACATGTAGAACGAAATAATATATATATCTATATACATAAATATATACGTATATATCACTATATATATACCTATATAAATAAAAATATTTTTAAAAAATTATATATATATATATACATATATATTCACATACGTATATATATATATATATATATATACATATATTAATTCTACATATATATTTATGTAATATTTTTACATAATTAGGTATCTTAATTAATTACAATTAGCGGGACCTGCCTGACAACCCATGCCGAAAGTAAAGGGAATTTAAGGCGGGCTAATTAACCCTATAACTTTCCAAGACACCATAAAACCTGTACATGGGGGGTACTGTTCTACTCAGGAGACTTCGCTGAACACAAATATTAATGTTTCAAAACAGTAAAATATATTATAACGATGATATCGCCAGTAAAAGTGACGTTTTTTCACGCACAAACAGCACTTACACGGACGATATTATAGCTGCGATACTTTTTACTGTTTTGAAACACAAATATTTGTGTTCAGCGAAGTCTCCCGAATACAACAGTATCCCTCATGTACAGGTTTTATGGTGTTTTCAAAAGTCACAGCGTCAAATATAAGGCTTGTGTTTAATTTTTTTCACATTAAAATTTGCCAGATTGGGTACGTTGCCTTTGAGACCCTATGGTAGCCCAAGAATGAAAATTACCCCTATGATGGCATACCATTTGCAATAGTAGACAACCCAAGGTATTGCAAACGGGGTATGTCCAGTCTTTTTTAGTAGCCACTAAGTCACAAACACTGGCCAAAATTGGCGTTTTTTGCATTTTTCACACACAAACAAATACTAACGCTAACTTTGGCCAGTGTTTGTGACCAAATGGCTACTAAAAAAGACTGGACATACCCCATTTGCAATACCTTGGGTTGTCTACTATTGCAAATGGTATGCCATTATGGGTGTAAATTTCATTCCTGGGCTACTATAAAGTCCCAAAGGCAACGCAACCAATCTGGCGAATTTCAATTTCAAATGTAACGTGCTATATTTGACCCTGTAACTTCCCAAAACGCCATAGAACCTGTACATAGGGGGTACTGTTTTACACGTGAGACTTTGCTGAATTCAAATATGTGTATTTTATTGCAGTAAAAGCAAACAGTATTATGACATTGACAGTTAAAATGTCATGTAGAACTAAACAAATCAAAAAAAATTTCCCATTTTTTTCATATTAAATTATGTTCCATAGCTAAATATTTGATATTAAATGAAAGCCCTGTTTCCCCAGAATAAAATGATATATAATAAGGGTGGGTGCATTTAATATGAAAGAGGTGACTTACGGTTGGACAGACATGTAGCGCAAATGCCAGGTTTTGTTTACATTTTGTTTCGTTCACAACGTGTACATTTGGCTCTGTCCTTAAGGGGTTAAGAAAGGAGAAAATTTACCAATAAATGAGACAATTAAAAAATGATACAGGAAGAGGTAGATGAGGACCCAGCTCAGGCGAGCTTCATGTCTGGAGGAAAGTTTTAAAATATATGGGGACCTTTTGGGTGCCCCGTTCTAGATCCTCTTTAGCAATATAAATACAATCACACTAGCTGTCCTGAAACATGTCTGCAGAATGATAAACTAAAGACAAGAACAGTGTGATGCTAGCACTCACTTGTTTGAATGATATGTGTATGTTGGGGTTGCACTGATTTATGTGTAATCTAGAACATTGATTCTTAAATGGGTTTTTAAAGAGGCACTCTACCCACCATAATCACTAATTGGTTACGAGTTGTTAAAGAGATGCTCTTAGCACCAAAATCACTAATGCTCATTGTTGTGTTTAAAGCTAAGCTTGCATAGACTTTTGTTTGCCATCCAAGGTTGGAGGAGCTGAATTGCAAGTTCATTACACACATTAGATGGGCGGTGACAGAAGGCTAGACTAAATTTTTATCAAGAGAATTGTTGGATTCAGCGCTTAGTGACCAGTAGGTATCTGGGATAGCAGAAAGGTAAAAGGCCACAACCTAAGATAATGATGTTCCCTCCCAGACCATCAACAGGATTACAAACCTAGAAATAGAAGATAATAGGTCGCGCCACACAAACTACTTTAATTTTTGTGTGGCGCGACCTATTATCTTCTATTTCTATGTTTGTAAATTTTTATCAGACTGCTTGGAAATGGTTTAACACAACACATTTTTTTTACAAATATTGGTATTGTTTATGATGCTCGGAGTGCCCCTTTAACCTTAATGACAGGGACAAATCATGCATTTGGAAGTAGTTTGATAGCCCATTCTAAATTTATTAGTGGTGTCATAAAAATGTTGTGTATAATCTTGGCCAGATTTCCCATGAGGTCACTAAGGCCACAACTGGAGCAAGTGTGTTGTGACCATATGGCAAAACAAGAAATTCACCTGGAGTTCCAGCCCAAGGTTGTTAGAGCTCTCTGATTTACTGCGTGTCCCCATACTAAAGTAACCTCCAGCACTTCTGTGTGCATGAGCCTAAACCTGCAAGGTTACCCAGCATGTTTCTTGGTTCATACAGAAGGGCATGGACTGGAAGCAGGCTCTAAAATCAACTATACTTGCAAGAGCTCCCTAAGCAGACCACTGGATATTACCAAAAGTTAAGCAAGATAAGGAGATGAAACAAACAAAAAAAAGACATTACAAATAAAACACATACCTTTCGCGCACACAGATTCCCAACCTACTAACACAGTCTCCCAGAACAACAGAAGCAGCATCTTAGTCTCTTCACAAACAGCCTCCTCACACATAACAAGCATACACATTCCCCATGCACAACACATACAGTCTACCCATACACAAAACAGACATCATCCCACACACAATACTATAGGCAATTTATCCACAACACAAATAATCTCCACACACATAACACAAGTGGTGTCCCAGTTTTGGGTGGTAATAATGGAGCAGGGAAGGTGGAATAACTGATAGCTTAGATGGAGGTCTTCTTCAACGCTCTATGTTTGCCAGAAGTCAAAGTTACAGTGCATAGAGAATCAATTTCTAAAAATAAATCATTGTGCCCAGCAAATTACTGTTTTTGTTTAGTTATTCTGGAATGCTATTTAGGTAAAATAGAAAAGCATTAAGTGGTGACAAAAGATATAAACAGCGGTCTAGGAAAATAATGAGTGTATTAAGTAATAATTTTGTTTATTGTACAGAAAAGTATTGTTCTACTGGATATTCAAGAGTTCCTTGAGAAGAACGTGGTTATCAGCAAAAATCAGCAGGGTTTTATGAAGCACAGGTCATGTCAAACTAACTTAATTGCATTATATGAAGACGTAAGCAGAAGTATAGATCAGAGTGTTGCAGTGGATGTGATCTACTTGGATTTTGCCAAGGCATTTGATACAGTTCCACACAATAGATTAGTGTTCAAACTCAAGGAAATCGGTCTAGATGAAAATTCTTGTTCTTGGGTAGAACATTGACTTAAAAATAGAGTACAAAGAGTTGTCATTAATGGTAAATATTCAAGCTGGACAGAGGTGGCAAGTGGTGTCCCTCAGTGTTCTGTTCTGTGACCCCTTCTACTTAACATGTTAACATGTATAAATGAAAAAAGCATTGAAAGTCATGTTTCAGTGTTTGCAAATAACATAAAACTCTGTAAAGTAATATAATGTGAGCAAGATATTACTTTGCTGCAGAGGGATTTAGATAGACTGGGGGACTGGGCACTCAAATGGCAGATGAAATCTAATGTAGAAAAATGCAAAGTTATGCACTTCGGCGTCAAGAATGCGTAAGCAACTTATAATGGAAGCAAATTAGGGATAATAACCCACAAGAAGGACTTGTTATAGACAACAAACTATGCAACAATGTGCAATGTCAATCAGCAGTGCCGAAGGCCAGTAAGGTATTGTCATGCATGAAAAAGGGCATTAATTCTCGGAATGAGAATATCATTTTGCCTCTTTATAAAATCACTGGTAAGACTACATCTTGAATATGCTGTGCAATTTTGGGCACCTTTTCTAAAGAAGGATATTATGGCACTAGAAAAAGTGCAGAGGCGGGCTACAAAATTAATTAAAGGAATGGAACATTTTAGCCCCACCTCAGAGGGGATATGATAACATTATACAAATATATCCAGGGCCAATACAAACTATTGTGTGGAAATCTATTCACAAACAGGACTTTACATAGGACACAAGGTCATGCGTTTAGACTGGAAGAAAGAAGATTTAGTCCAATGTAAAGAAAAGGTTTTTATACCGTAAGAATAATAAGAATATAGAAATATCTGCCTGAAGAAGTGGATTTATCAGAGTCCATACAGATGTTTAAACAGCAACTAGATGCATACTTGCAAAAACAGAATATTCAATGATATCATTTTTCAACTGTAGGGTAATAGCTTATTGATCCAAGGATTAATCTGACTGCCATTCTGGGGTCAAGAATTAATTTTCTTTCCTAGTTTGTTGCAAAAGTGGAAGTGCTTCAAACTGTTTTTATTGCATTCTTTTTCGATAAACAGCAAAAACAAATGTGAGGAAGGCTGAACTTAATGGACACATGTCTCTTTTAAGCTATGTAACCATGTAACTATATATAATCTTGACAGCTAGTCAATCAAGCTGGTAATAAAGTAGTCTCTTGAAATGGCTCAAGATATGGAAGGCTTAGGCTCTGTTTTGAATATAGTGATCCATATTATTATATTATTTATATAACGCCAGCAAACTCCACAGCACTTTACTATGGGTAGATGGATAAGTTGGTGTTGGAGCTTCATATGATCAATAAATAGATCTCTCACTATTGGAAGTTTAAACACATACATGGATTGATCCCCATTTGGTTGTGAAACTCCCTCACACAAAAAAGTAAAAACTAGTAAAGTGTGTGGATAATGCTGGGATTTGGAAGAAATACATTTTTTTTTTTTTTACTGCATTAGCTTATAAGGGATGTAAATAGGGAATGCAATATCCACTTTGAACATGCAATACGTGTGTATGTGAAAGCAGATAAATGGCCAGATGTTATATCAGAAATTGGTTTAAAAAATGCTTACATAAAAAGTGTCTAAATGCATACTTCCCAATACCAGAATGTACACACCAGGACAAGGAGGAGTGGAGCAGAGCTCTGTCTGAGTGACTTCCGTGAAAAAGGTGGGTACATAGTGGACTAAAAGCTGTGCTGGGCAGCCGGTAGACCATGTACTCTCATTGCACACGGTAGAATGTCCGGATTTCATATTGTGCAATGCAAGCATATCTAATAATGGGTGACTTTGCTGTTACTGGGGTGGATCCACAACCTAATCTTGGGGGGAAAGATTATTTAAATTTCTGTATCTCTCTATCTATCTATCTATCTATATATGTATATATATATATATATCGATACAGAAATGTAAATACAAGCTCACGACACATACAAGCTCACTACACACAAGATCATTGTCACACACCCCTTGCTGTGGAGAGCTGGACGTTGTCTCTCATATACATATTTCCCATGCTTTTCCTGCCAACTAGGGCCTGTTGCTCTTTATGAAGTCGATAGGGGGCTATAGGGTGTTATCCACGCAATATTCTATGGCCACATAGGTAAGGGGCTGAGGGAGGAAAAAATGTGGGCAGCAGCAGCACAAACCCTCCTGATTCAAAAAACACTAATGGTGTGATGAAAAAGGGTGTGAAAAAATGCTTGAAAGTTAAAGCTGCGAATGTCTGTTTTATAAAATGTACTGAAATTCTAGACAGGCTACATAAATGATTTAATATATTTGAGGTATTTTTTATTTAGCAGGATTCATTGTGTTTACATTATATTAGGCATAACTGTGACAACAACTTTTTTCCGATTTTGTTATGTGTTTTTTAGTCATAACAGTGCTACGGAAATTGCTGGTGCTATAGAAATAATAAAATAATAATAATATACGTATAATATTCAGAGAATCTAAAAAGCTCAAGCTGTCCATTAAAAAAAAAATTATACTGGAACTCTTTAATGAAGAATAGAGATGTCGCGAACTGTCCGCCGAACTGTTCGCGAACTGTCCGCTGGCGAACAATAGCGTGTTCGCGTTGGGCGAACATATCCGATTTCCGGTCCGCCCCCTATACGTCATCATTGAGTAAACTTTGACCCGGAACCTCACAGCCAGCAGACACATTCCACCCAATCAGCAGCAGACCTTCCCTCCCTCCCAGAAAGTGTCTGCTGACTGTGAGGTTCCGGGTCAAAGTTTACTCAATGATGACGTATAGGGGGCGGACCGGAAATCGCATATGTTCGCCCAACGCGAACACGCTATTGTTCGCCGGCGGACAGTTCGCGAACAGTTCAGCAGACAGTTCGCGACATCTCTAATGAAGAAGTGTTTAAAAAGACAAAGAAAAATGCCCAAAATGTGTGTTTAGGTAAAAAAAATACTGTCATAATTTTTTTTAAATGAAAAATGAATTATTTATTTTTAAGTAAAATGACTGTGTACTTGATTATTATGGATAAGTATCACAATCCCTTTGCCATTTCTTTTTCCTTCAGCCTCTTTAACTTCAGTGCCACCATCTTCAAGGGCCTCTTTTTTGCATCCTGACTGAACAGAATTCAAATACCAGATTATTCATCCTTGCTCCCAAGCCTTTACTTTGGACACATTCCATGTTCGTAGCACTCAGCACATTATTAATACATCTTTTTTTTTTGTTTAATTCGAGTTTTATTGTTATTTCACAACGTATAACGGGGATACAGAAGGCAAGAAGGGAGGGTAAGGTATGCGGTTGTGATTCGTACATTTTATACAGCAATGTCGATATAGACAAATATAGACAAATATACATCAATCCCCATTGTTCTTTGCATATTGGTACCGCTGATATTGTCTCATCGTTCTGTATTACACAAAACCTTGGTGCAGGGTTGGTGACTAGTGTCCCCAGAAAGGTTGGGGGTAGGGAATGGTGGGGAGAGCGGGGAAGTACTATATACATGGGAAGTGGGTGGGGTGGGGGGGGAGGTACAAGGTATCTTTTATTGTTTTTACTGTTCCGTCTATTGTGGATTATTCTGTACTAGTGCCCAGTGTTTTAGCCATGGTTCCCATATGTTTAGGTATGTAGTGTATTTGCCTATTGTGGACCAATGTAGCATTTCCATTTCTCTCATGTGCTCTACCCTTTCTATCCATTGTTTGGCTGTGGGTGGTACATTTTGTTTCCAATGGACCGGTATAAGGTTGTTTGCTTCTCCCAGTAGGAGCCATAGTAGGCGCTGACTCTTCATACATTGAAAGGAGTGTGGCCATCCTAGTAGAATTTGGGAGGGGGTTAGGGAGTGTGGTAGTTTTAAGATCTCATCGATCTTGGAGGTCACTTCTGCCCAGTATGGTCTCATGAGTGGGCAAAACCACCACAGGTGTTCCATACTGCCCACCTCTCCCCCGCACCTCCAGCATTGTTCGCTAACTGTTTGCCAATAGAGATGAAGTACCTCCGGGGTTCTATACCACCTAGTGATACGTTTATAGAATGACTCTTGTCTTGATAGGCTACTGGAGGTGTGCATGGGTTTTGTGAAGACATATGCCCAGTCCTGGTGTGACATATGTATGTGAAGTTCCTTCATCCATTT